TAAATTTGAGGAAGATCAGATGAAGCTCAACAAAGAAGCCAAGGGCTATTCTAACAGGGATAGCATCAGAGTAGTTCTGATCGGGGACTGTTGTTGTGTTAGCCATCTTAAGTTGCAGTCCACGGGCATGGGATGTTTCCATGCCCATTATCGAACCTTTAATCCCAAAACTATTTTGTAATTTCTGAAGTACAAGGTTTTCACTTGTTTGGGTTAAATTAATTCCTAAATATTTTCTTCTTTTAAAAAGACACTTATTTCCGTTTTTACTTTTATGTGTGTATGCACACATATGCACACATGCAGGTCATATGTCTGAGTGCCTGCAGAAGCCAGAAGAAGGCGTCACGGGAAATTGTGAGTCACCTGATGGGGTGCTAGGAACAAAATTTGGACCTTCTGGGAGAGTAGAAAGCACTGTTTGCCTCATTGTTGAGCCTTTTCTCCAGCCGTTGTTTTATTCTTTCTGCTGTAGTGGGGAAAATCTCGCCTTGCCTCCCTCTCCCCTCCCTTCCCCTCCACTCCCCCTCCCCCCATCATCTCCTCTTCTCTTCTGATACATTTTCTTTGAGATTGGAATTCATGTGCTGTGTACACTGGCTGCAGATTCACTATGTGTCTGAGAACGATCACCTTGATTTTCGGATTCTCTGGGCTCCACTTCTGAAGCATGACGATTACAGGCGTGTGTTGCCCCACGGATTACAGGCATGTTCTACCACACCCAGGTTATGCAGGGCTGAGGACTGGGGCATCCACGTTAGGCAAACGCTCCTCTACCGAGCTACAGCCTCAGCCCAGAAATGGCTTCTTGACTTCATTTTCAAGTTATTTATTAGGAAAGACTAGATTTCACGGTTTACGACTGCTGAACGTATTAACTGAAATAGCTCTTTCATTGGATCCCTTGTGGTTCCCTAAATACCGGGTCCTGTCATCCATGTGCTGATGCAGCTTTACTGCGGCCCCTGTAGTGTGGATGCTGGAATAACTTTGCTCACCTTGTTGCCTTGCTCAGAGACTTCTAGAGTCATGCCGAACTCTTAAGAGTAGGTGTTTCACAGATGACCTTTATGAGCTGAAATTCCCTTTTGTTCCCTTTTAAAAATGGGTTTTTTATCATGAAAGGGTAATGTCAAATTCTTTTTATGTGTCTATTGAGATGATCATGTGATTTTTGGTTTTTATTCTATTAGTAGGACATATTACATTAATTGGTTTTTAGAAGTTAAACCAAATTATATTCCTGGGATAAATCCTATCTTGTCATAGTGTCTGATTCTTTGTGTGTGTGAACTCTAATGGGGTATTTTATTTAACTTCTCACTGTATCAAACATTTTTAATTAAGGTATACATTTGATTTTTACTGAAAATAATTTTATACAAAATATTCTGATCGTGATTTCCCTTCAGGCAAGCTTTATTTGGAGTAATTTACTCAAAGAGAAGCATGCAGGCTCTGGCAGGGCTAACTGCTCGCTGCCTTTACTGAGGTCTAGGGTGAGAATTCAAGCAAAAAATGGACCAGAAAGAAGTAAAAACAAAACAACAACAACAACAAAAACCAAACAAAGACCCAAAAACGTGATTTAGAAAGAAAAGGAGTGTGCACCTGGCTACAAGTCACAGACAAGGCAAGTGTGGACAGCGTCACTGCAAATGTTCAAAGGCATTAGTGACATTAAAGCAAATCAGGAACTTTGCATGTGTGCCTGAGGTGCAAGATCCCACTCAGGGAATCAGAAGATGTGGACACATTCGGCATTAAGAGATGGGCATAGGCCTTTTGGTCAAGGTTAGAACATCATGGATTGCAGACATGTGTTTAAATGTCAGGTTGACAAAGGGTTTGTTTGTGATGGGGAGTCTTCCCTGTCCATCTGCCTGGGTTTAGAATCACCATGGTGACCAACACATACTTCTGGGTGTGTCTTGGGGGTATTTTAATTAATTATTAATAATATTTTAATAATTAATTAATCTTGGGGAGGTTAATTAAGGGAGAGAGAGAGCCCCACACAGAATTGTGCGAAACTACCCCATGGGCCAAGGGGTGGGCGGATCTAAAGAGGAAAAGGAGGAAGTGAACTGAACACGCACACTTGTGTTTGGCTGATCCTTGGCCCATCCTTTAGTGAGCAAGCAGCTTCCTGTTCCTGCCATTCTCCGAATGCCTTCCTGCCAAGATGGCCTCAGTCCCTTTAACCCCAGAACCAAAGTAAACATCTGATCCCTTAAGCTTTTTCTTGTCAGGTATTTGGTCACAACTAGAAGAAAAGTAAACTAACATCCTTTAGTGAGCAAGCAGCTTCCTGTTCCTGCCATTCTCCGAATGCCTTCCTGCCAAGATGGCCTCAGTCCCTTTAACCCCAGAACCAAAGTAAACATCTGATCCCTTAAGCTTTTTCTTGTCAGGTATTTGGTCACAACTAGAAGAAAAGTAAACTAATATACCTATTCCTGTTATGCAATCTTCAGAAAAAATTTTTTTTTTCCTTTAAATGTATAGTAGATTTCTGCAGTAAGACATGCAGTAAGGGCATTGGCTTCTCTTTGTGGGTAGTTCTTTTTAATTATCCAGTCTTTTTACTTTCTTTGAGTCTGTTCATCTCAAGTCAGTTCTGGTAGTCATTCTTTACTTTCAACCTATTTCTGTTGCAGGGTCTAAAGTACAGCTCTTTGTGATAAGATACTTAGATCCATATCTATTTTGACAGTCTGTGTAACAGATTTCCTGTTGATGTTCAACCAATGACAATTTTCAACTCTGTTATTTTTCTTCTCCTTTCTGCTCCATCCCTAGGCATGCTGGTGGGAATACATGGGTCCTCTGTCCCTCGGCATTGGTAGAAATTTTGTGCTACTTGGCTCATTCCAGGATCCTTTTGCTCCAATCTCTCCCCTTACCAACCATAAATTCTTTTTTTTCCGTTTATTTATTTATTAAAGATTTCTGTCTCTTCCCCACCACCTCCTCCCATTTCCCTCCCCCTCCCCCAATCAAGCTCCCCTCCCTTGTCAGCCCATAGAGCTATCAGGGTTCCCTGCCCAGTGGGAAGTCCAGGGACCACCCTCCAACCATAAATTCTCAAGCTCTTTGCAGCCTCTCAATATTTGTGGACCTTCTTCAAAGCCTGCCAGGCTCTCCCTAGACTCCCTCATTATGTCACCCAGCATCTTACACTGGCTGGGTGTGTGTGTGACGTCATTGGTCTCCATCTCTGCAGGTTGCCCACCATACTCGGCTCTGTTTGATAGAAACATTAACTCCATTTACAAGTAATAGATCACATTTAATGTGATTATCAATATGGTAAGATTTACATCTGTCATGTTTTCTGTGTGTTGTAGTTTTGTTTCCTTCAAGTCTTACGTTATTGCCTTCTTTAACAGTATGTGGATCTTATAAACACCATCTCTCTTTCTTCATTGCTTCTTTTACTATCTATTATTTAAGTTACTTTCTCAGTAGTCCCCCCCCCACCACATTATAATCCTCAGCTTGACTTGGAACGACCGAGTTCAAAGTGTGTCAGCTTCATTTTAGTATTCCATCGAACCTCACTCCCGTGCACTTCCCTTCCTGCAGTTGTTGTCATTGAAATTGCATCTTTGCCGAGGATATGTGATAGCCTATACTGAAAATTTTGTATTTTTACATATGAAAGACTCACCAATACAGTTTTATAGCTATTGCTCTCAGCTGGTGTGTTTTTATATAAAATGAAAGAAGACAAATGTTAAAATGAAAAAAAAATACATGTACAGCATCTTTGCCATTACCACTTACTCTTTCCTCATGACTCAGGTGAATTTCCAGGTGAATTCAAGCCACTCTCTACTGTCTACTGGGATGTCCTGTTAATATTTGTTACAGGAGATGGCTTTTAGTGATGTAAGATTCTTAAAGTGTTTGTTTGTTTAGGAACACTTTAACTTATCTTTCACCCCTGGAGGGTGGCTTAGTGGATGTAGAGTCCTTGGATAATGCTCTTTTTCTTCCCACTTCTGGAAAGCGTCCCACTGCTTTCTGGTTTCCCAAGTTCTGGATGAAAAGTTGGCTGCTATTTTTTATTGTGTATCCCTTGTGCTCAATTTCCTGCTGCTCCGTTTTACGATTTCCTCTTTGTCTTTGAATCTTAGAAGTTTTATTATGATGTGTTCAGAAGTTAATCTCTTTGGATTTCTCTTTCCCACTCAGAGTTCATCTTATATAAAATATCAAATATACAGATTAATGTTTTAAACTCAAATTTGGGGAGTTTGGGGCCGCTTTGTCTTCAAAAATTCCTTCAGTCCTGTCTACGTCTTCTGCAGCATTGAGTCCACCAGATTTCATGGTTTGAGATGGAACACATCTACCTGTGATGACTTCTCATCAGACCCGGCCCCCGGGCACATTTAACTGCCAGTTCGACTTCTGTTTTGTAAATATCGAGCTGGCATCTCAGATGTATAGTGAGTAGAACAAAACCTTGGTTTCCATTCCAAACTTACCCTTAGACAGCTCTCCTACCTTATCAACTTCTCTGTCCTCTCACCACCTGAACTGAAACATGAGCTCTCTTTCTCTTGATTGCCCATCTGGTCCATCACCAAGAACTGCCTCTAAATGACATCACCCTGATGTTGCCTTCTCTCCATTTCCACAGAAGACCAGCCAGTTCTAGGTCCCCACAGAAGGGATTCGTCAACAACTCAGCATGAAGGGTCTTACCTCTGGAAGTTAAGGTTTGGGAAGTCTGAAGTAGGCCTCAGAAATTTGAATTCTTGTAAACATTTCCCATGGGTTTCTGATGATTGACGGGCCTGAAGAGCCTCTGGTCTGCCTAAACCAAGCTGGGCATGAGTCAGCTCCCAGGAGGCTCACTGCAGCGGGGTTTGGGAAGCTGAGTTAAGGAATGAAGTCCTTCCAGGTAGCAGCTGAAAGGTGGATGTAGAACTTCGCCATGGGAGCAGAGGCAGCTGACCAACAGCATCCCCCTTTCTGTCTGTCAGTGGCCCGCTACCGTGTGACCGTATGCACAGGAGAACTCGAAGGTGCAGGAACTGATGCCAACGTCTACCTCTGTCTTTTTGGTGATGTGGGGGACACAGGGGAGCGACTGCTTTACAACTGCAGGAATAACACCGACCTGTTTGAGAAAGGCAATGTAAGTTGCAGTGATGTGCCACCCTCCTCCCAGTCCACGCCTGCTTTGTCCTCCTGCCTTCCTGGCTCTGTCAAGGTAGAGCTGGTGGTTAGTGTCAGGACCTCAGCAACGGGATACAATCTGTCTGGATGAGGGGAGTGGGGTCTAGGGACTCCAGGTAGGAACCACTTGAAGGACATAGAAATACCTGGTTGATTGGATCTTTGAGAGATTTGGCTCGCCATCACTTGCTAACATCAATGGCAGCTATAAGGCTCCTCGTATTATTCATCTAGAAGCTGGAGAGCCACCAGAGAAACCGTGGTCTCCTACCCATCCCTCAGGTTGGGAAGAACATTGGGCATCTCAAGTGTGTCCTTGAGGACTCGGGCTGGAAGAAAATGGAAGATAAAATACATTCTCTGTTAAGTGTGGCAATTAGGGGCAGCTTGTTCCTCTTCCTCCCCCGCTCCTGTCCATGGGTGTAAAAGGACTGAGTCTATTGCTAGCCACAATGCAATGTGTTAGGTATGCCCCTAGGCTACCACAACCATCACGTGAGTTTAATCTGGGCCAAAGGGGTCTGAAGCAGGAAGAAAGTACCAAACTGGTCTAGGGAAAGTTAGCCTTAGGCCACTCACTACACTCTCCTGTGCCACACTTTCTTTGTGTCTAAAGGGAGGGAAAGGACGCCTACCGGTGACTGGCTACTGTGGAGATTATGGAGGACTGATACACTGTAGGGGTCAGATGTGGTTCACAAGGCACAGTAGATGCCCAGTAAAGAATCATTGTTTCAGGGATGTGAGCTTGGTGGAGACGTACAGGTGGAAGGGATTTGTAGATTCTGTGCCCTTCCTTCCTCGTTTACCCTTTTCTTGGCGTGCAAGAGAATTCTAGTAGAAGACTCGGAGCTAACTCAAGGATGGGCTTTTGAAGGTTGTGTTGGTGAAGCCCTTCTGAGCAGGAGGCTGTAGGTAGGCTTTGGTCCACTTTGGGGAGGGGTAAGGAGACTATGGTTGCCTGTATTTTCTATTTCTGTTCCCTGTAGTAGTTTGTGTGTGCCCATGAAGGAATTCCAGCTCTTCCTTTCAGCTCTGCCTTGGAACTTCTGTAGTATACTGGTGCTAGGTCTCAAGAGAGACGTTATCTACACGACCCCACTGTCTTTTCTTTCTCAAAGGCTGACGAGTTTACCATCGAGTCTGTCACCATGAGGAAGGTGAGGCGGGTGAGAATCAGACACGATGGCAAAGGCTCTGGCAGCGGCTGGTACCTGGACAGAGTGCTGGTGCGAGAGGAAGGCCAGGCGGAGAGCGACAGCGTCGAGTTCCCCTGCCTCAGGTACACACACCCTTCGTCTTCCTGCAGAAAGACTTGGTCCTATTACATGGAACAATAAGAAAAATAGTGGCTGAGGTCAATAGTTGATGAGAGAAAGAGCTGACCTTGCAGAGGTATATTGACCTGAGTCTCACAGTTCTACCCCACCCCTGGCGGATGGAGGCACCAGGACCTAGTGCCAACTTGATGGTGTTTCTCATGAAAAACAAACAAAACAACACAACAAATACAAAAACCCTGACACGTTCTGAATTTAAGTGATTTGTTAGAGGATTAGTCAGATGCAGAATGAAATATGGATACAAGTTGGACTTCTATTCTTTTCCTTTTCTTTTTTTTTTTTTTTTTTTTGAGACAGGGTTTCTCTGTGTAGCTCTGGATGTCCTGGAACTCACTCTGTAGACCAGGCTAGCCTTGAACTCACAGAGATCTGCCCGCCTCTGCCTCCCTGAGTGTTGAGATTAAAGGTGAGTGTTACCACCACCTGGCTGGATGTTTGTTGGGACAGTCTGACCACATTTCTTGCCTGGTTACACTATTTCAAGGTGTCTGACTTTGTTCACATTTCTTTGCCTCAAGAGCGAGGAAGTGCGTTTGCACCATTTTTCTGAAGCATTCTTTGCACAACCAGCAGCTCCTGGCAATTCCTCAAGTTTCCAATCGAGGCATTCTACAATGAGGAGCAATCTCAGTGTTTCATGAAACCCCAGTGGCTCTCATTCACCTGTATAAATGCCTGGTGGGGGGAGGACACTGCCAGAGTAATTTGGGGCATGAGCCCACACCCTGATTCATTCCTCACCTGAGCTGTGTGACTCTCATGGTAGGGAGGGCAAAATCGTTTTGAGCTATTTTAAATGTGTGTGTGTGTGTGTGTGTGTGTGTGTGTGTGTGGTATGCACACTCCTGTGAGCTCCAGGGAAAGATTCATGAAGCTACCAGCATGCTGACATCTGTTTAGTAACACCTCATGGTAAAACTAGGTTAGAGCATTTGAAGCTGAAAGGAAATTGATTTTTAAAACTGTGTCTATTAATACATCCAAGTGTCTGGGTAGCAACAAAACATGTGTCATGGTTTCCTTTCACCTCTTGGGAGGGGATGGGTTGGTAAATGGAGGGGACATGGAGCAAACAGGTGGGATTTTCTGATGGCCGTGGCCTATCTGCTTCTATCCGTGGTCAGGCACATCCCAGCCATCTCTCCTGCAGGCTCTTGTAACTTCGGAGCCGGCACTGTCAGTGATCCTGCCAAGACAGAGAAAGGGAAAGTCCCAATGGCTCAGTTTAAGAGACTGTAGCTAGTAGTCTGTAGTCCCCAAACCCTCTGTCACCAATTCCGAGGGTGACACCATGAATCTTCGTGTCTTGAAGCCTCTGCTTCACCTCTCTGGTGTTCTGAACCACAGCCCTAAAGCCTACATAAATGAACAGCGTTTTAGAGTTGGCTAATACAAACTGACAACATGATTCCCGGGGAGTGGGAGCCCTTGGGATCTGGGTATAAAATAAGTAAGAAGAGATGAGAAGAGCATGGTGTTGTCTCATTGGCCCTGGGAAGGGGTTCAAAAGCTCTGAGTCCTGTGTCAGAAGGGGCAGGGAGGAGGTGGTGCCTTGATTTCTTTATGGCTTCCTTTATAGGCTTGTGTTGCTTTGAATGTATTAACGACAAACTCAAGTCACCAACAATGCATAGGTGTAATACCAAGAAAAATAAAATGAAAAAGCTTATGCTTGGTATAATTTAACCTAGAGAGAGCCCAGCTTGCATTCTTTACTTCTCCCTCCTGGGGTCTTCTGTGGTCCTTGTCTGCTGTGTGAGTTTGAATCTGCACCTGCCTGGATACGTGTGAACTTGTTCCTGTCTCTGTATCTTCATGTCCCTAGCAAAGGGCTTTGCTCTCTCTTTACCGAACAGCATAGAAAGCATCACATCAGGGAAGGGATGAGGGATATAGAGTTGAACAAGGATTAAGTCATTTATCCCAGCTGACTCAGATTACAAGCAAACACTATATCCAAATGCCACTTCCGGTGTTTATGATGAATATTCATTTTATAAGGCAGCTCTCAGCCCATCTTCTGTTTTCAGCAAATAATTACTATAACATACTTACATATAAACTCACATATATTACTCTTGGGCCAGTGGCATGGAAGAGCCAATAATTTAAGATTACAGCTATGCATAGCTTGGGTTGTAAAATCTAATGGGAAATCCAAGGCAGTTAAGGTTGGTTGTTATATTGTTTTCTTAAAGGTAAGTTAAGCAAACAGGCTGTACACAATAGTACCACAGTCTCAAGAGACCTCAGGGTGTATTGTCAGCCCTGCCTGTGAGGGCCAGCAAAAGTTCCAGTCTCCTAGAATGGAACACATATTTCTTATTATAATATTGAATATTATATCATCACAGGCTTAGGAAGCTCTGCCCTCTCAGGGGCGTGAAGGAATGGGCTTTAAAGAGAAACACCAAGCCATAAAGAGGGAGATATGTGGCCAAAACAAAAATGTCTTGGTCTCTGCGTTTCTCTAAGACAAAGCTCTTAAAGTTTTTCCTCTAGTGGTCCTTTTTGCACAAGAAATTTGTATATGATCTTGGGTGTCTAAGTCAATAATATAGCTATCCAAAGTTAACATTTATGAACAATAAATGGTAAAGAAATCTGTTATAAGATGACTCTTTGTTATACAAATAATTTTACCATTTATTAGAGACAAAAATAAAAAATTAATTAGTTATTTTAATTAATTATTTTTAATTAACTAACTATTTTGCTAATTAGGTGCCTATGTTTATTGATTTTACAGAAAAAAGTTAAATATCAGCTGAACATTTGATTCTGCAGGATGTAGAGTACCTTCATTATTTTTCAGAATTGACCAATATCTTGATTTTTATTTTTTATTAAAAATACTTACTTTTCATTTTATATACCAACCCTAGTTCTTCATCTCTCTCCTTCTCCTGCCTCCATTTCCCCTCTTCCCATCCCCCATCTACTCCTCAGAGGGGGTAAGGTCATCCTTGGGGAGTCTACAAAGTCTGGCATACCAACTTGAGGCAGGACCAAGTCCCTCCCCACCTCCGCTCCATATTGAATATCTTAATTTTCTAACTGTCAATGATGATAACTCTGCTTTGCATGGATAGATAGTAGAAAATGGCAGAAGGATGTTTAGGATCATTTCAGAAATTGTTGGAGATTCTATCTTAATCCCAAGGCAACATTTATTTGATAATCTTTTAAATCAAACTCAATCCAGAAATTCAAGCAATTATAAACAACTAAATATTCTAACACATTAAATACAGAGATATACTAGCTTGACATTTCCTGAGGAATGGCGGTAGGAAAATATTAAAGGTCTTTGAGTTCCATAATGATATTTTGTATTTCTACAAGAGCAGAAAAATTGTATGTACAATGTAAAAACACTGTAATTCATAACATAACAAACGAACAGTCTTGAATCAGGGCCAAAGAACATTGTGTTACATTAGTGTTACATGTGACGACACGTGCAGGAAAAAGCGTGCATGCTGCATGCGTTCTCAGAGCCAAGTGAAGTCACCCACAGCACAGGCAGGCATGGCCACCTGGGATTTACTTTGTTTCTCTAAGTAAGTTTGGATTGTTGTAAAGTAAAGAGACCAGAACCTCTTTATTGCTGCCTGAATTCCACAGTTCCCACATTCAGCTCCACAGCTCTCTCTAGTTCATGCTCCACAGTTTAAGAAGCCAGATCCTAGAGAATGGTGATTGGCCCTGGGTTACAAACTAGCCTGCCTATGGGGTATACACAACTCATGCTTGTGCAATAGGCTTGTTTCGTAGGCTTGGCGATATTCCCCATGTCTTCCTCTGGGGGACAGCCAACAGAGGGCTGGAGCCACTGTTCAGAGTGATATCTTGAGTCATAGTTATCAACTCTGAGCCCTGAAAACCATGGGCTTACCTTTTCCTGAGGTCAAATCTCATCCGTCTTTGAAGATTCCAATTCAACTTCCTCACCAGAGGCCCTTCCCCTTTCTGTAAATCCTTACAGCACTTCCTTTGTCCAGTCCCACCTCATCTAGCCCACCCATCTTCTTGATCATACTCTTGGCTACAGTAGCCTGAGCTGTGCTGTCCCAGTGTCCTCTCTTTTTGCTCTCTCCTGTGCTCTGTCCTTGTTCATCCCATTAACCAGCAGCCCTGTCTCTCACTTGCTGTATTCTGTCTTCATGGGCCTTCAGCAACTCTTGGACTTCCATCCCAGGGTATGCTTTTCCTTTGGGATGCTCTTCTCTCTTTTCCTGGCCAACATCATATCATGTTTCCAATCTCAGCCAGCAGTCAGCCTTCTCCAGAAAGTTTTCCTCTGGTCTGGGTTGGAATACTTTGCTAGGAGATCTCAAAGACCCACTTTCTTTGGCTGAACTCAAAACTCTGGGCCTCCTGGTGATTCAGCATGGGGGCTGTGATGGTTGGGGTGTCTGCCTGTTCTACTCAGAGAACTAACACCCCACCCCATTTCTCTCAAGGTGGCTGGATAAGGATAAGGATGATGGACAGCTGGTCCGAGAGTTGTTACCCAGTGACAGCAATGCCACGCTCAAGAGTGAGTTGTCCCAATGGCCAGGTGATGGGTGTTCCCTGGGCATGACAGTTGCCTTTCCTCAGTGAAACAGGACCTAGACCTTCAAAGATACACACCTTCTTCACTTTATTTCATGAAAGCAGCACAGGATGGTGGATAAAAATGGCATTGATGGAGGTCTGGAAACTTCTCATGTGTCTGTGCTTGAACGCCCAGTCCAAACCTGGTCTTGGTGTTAGGTGCTGAATATGGGTTAACAGAGTGATAAGAGCAATAAAACCAGCCAATGGCACCAAGCCCAGGGACCCCTGCTTTGTGAGCAGAAATGCATTTGAAGGGCTTATTGAATAAGGACTTTTAAACTGCTGAGCATTGTCCTGGAGCCCTGGAGTATCCCTTACTAGTGATACATGCTCAGATGCTGCTGTCTGAGCATGTGCTTTGGATAATGTGTAAAAGAGCTACACCTCCAGACATCCCCAGAGTCCAACAATGCAACATGTTTCCCGGGTGTCACTCAACTGAGCCCTGCCATAACCCCAAAAGGAGGCAGAGCTAACATTGTCCTTTTGTCAGATGGGGAAACCAAGGCCTGGAAGACGTAGATGCTAATACTTACCTTTTCTAAGGTCACTCAGTTGAACCAGAATGTCTAGTGTAGCACCCAGCATCACAGAGCCTAAGCACTGGGAAGGAGCTCAAGAGAAGTCACCCACGTTTGTGATAAGGGGACACTCAGGCCTGCAGTTGCTGATGGAACCGGGATCAGTCCCCAAAACGTCTCTGCCTTAGATTGCTGTTCTTCCCACCCCAGCAGGCTCTCATTTCACCACGTGGACAGAGAACCCACCCTTCTGATCTGCTAGTTGGAGAAGAAGGCTTCTGCTTCCTGCTGCGTCTTTAAGCAGCAAAGTGATCTATTTCTCCCAGTGCCCATAGACGTCCCTGGTAGAGCTGAGCTGACAGGTGGCAGTGGATGGCCCCAGGCACGGGGCCTCAGCTTATTTTCTCCAGACTATGTTCCAGGAGGAAAACCCTGAAGGAACAATGAGTGACAGGCCTTGAACTCTCTCTTCTTTGCCTAAGACACACACCGTGGATCCTGCCTGGACGACTAAAGCTTGGCTGCTGTTCTCCCACAACTTATCCCGCCCTCTGGTGTTCTTTATACCTGCACACAGGCTGGTGCAGAGATTTCTGGGAGATAAAATGGGATAGCATTGCAAGGTATCCTATTAGGGGAGGGAGCAGCCTTAAATACACACCAAGAATTTGCTCCTGGATAGTGACTTTATTGTCGCCATCTCGTGGCAGGCACCTGACCTTCTGAGCTCTACATCCCTTGCCTGTAAGGTTGGGAGGAGAGTACTTAGTGATAATAGCATAGAATGTGTGCCCAGCGTTGTAAGTACTGAGATGTTCTGGTGCCTTCGCCCATCAGAAGCTGGATAGGGGATTTCTGGGGATGCTTTGAGTCTCTGGAGTGTGGGTGTTTCACCTCAGCACCTTCACCTCTTACAGAACAGGAAGAGGCAGTGCCCTGGTTTTCTAGATGAGGGGGCTCCACAGAGATGGAGGGAGCCCTGCTACCAGTGTAGGGTCGGGACTCCAGGCTCCAGTGTCCTGACTCCTAGCCTGGGTCTTCTCTGGCTGAAGGTTGTCCCTTCTTTCCAACACTTTGCTCCTTGTTGTACAACCGGCGCTAACTTCCTGTCTCTCTCTGCTTGGCATGCTTAGACTTTCGCTATCACATCAGTGTGAAGACCGGGAACGTATCCGGGGCCAGCACAGATTCTAAAGTATACATCAAGCTCTATGGGGAGAAATCTGACACCATCAAGCAAGTTCTGCTTGTCTCCGACAACAACCTCAAAGACTACTTTGAACGTGGCCGAGTGGATGAGTTCACACTGGAGACCCTGAACATTGGGACTGTAAGTATCTGTTCCAGAATCAGGTGACATTGTCTCACCATGTTCCTACAATGGCCCACACGTGTCCACAGTCACGTTCATGTCTGCACTGATGTGCACACAGGTGAGCCCATTTTGAAGGAAAAGAACTGCCCACTTAGAGGTTACTAGTGAGGCATTTAGTTTCTCCCAGGGCCAGAGCAGCTGCAGATAAATAAGCAATTATGCTTTTAGAACATCTTTGAGACTGTAATACACATTTTAGTAACTTTACCCCCAACATGTGTTCCAGGATTATAGACAGAGCATGGGTGCTGAAGAAGGGGACACTGGATTCGGGAAGGGAAAAGAGAGAAGGGAGAACCAAAGGGAAGGGATGACAATGTTTCCCAATTCCAGACTTGAGTGTGCTTCTCCACGTGTCCCATGATGAGCCCTGGGGTGGGGCAGGTCCTTTGCAACCTCGTCAGTCTGCACTCTAGGGAAGGATCTTGGGGTAGTCATTTACCCCTTGGGGTTAATGAACTTCTAACGTATTTACATCTTAAATCAAATCAATAATTGTGAAATGACAATTTGGTTCCCTTTCCTGAAGGATTTTTGGGTGTCTGATGGGAGTGGGGAGGGGATTGACAGTAGAAAGCCACAGAGACTTCTCATGTTGGTGAAACTCCCTCAGTGAATAGTGTGGCCAAGAGCTTAGGAGCCCACCATTTCCACTGACTCGACATGTGCAAGTTATTTAACCTTGTCTTCATCAGTTTTCTCATTCCCAATAATGGAGATGCCATGGGGATTATTATTAGTATTGACTATGTAAAGAATACCCACACGCTTATAGTCAGGGCTCAGTATATACTGCTAAACAATTGCTCCACCTCCCATCCAAAGGGATGTGGAAGTGAGTGACAGTCCTTGTCTTTTGGGAGCTTCTAGTCATGTCCGACAACAGACAACTGCCCTTGTCGTAACTCTTCTTTATTCTCTCCCTGGAACTGCAGCAGTCCCAGCAGCACAGAGAAACACTGGCATGCTCCTCTGCCTAGTCAGGCATTTGGAGTGCTCCCAGGCTTGATAAACTGAGCTGGTTTTTTCCTAGCATTCTCAGGGGCCCGTGCTCCATAGACTAAACTGTGGCAGCTGTGACAGCATTTCATCGACAGCTGCAAAGGGGCCCTTAGTATGTGTGAAAGCAAAAGCCAGGGCTTGGGTGGGTGATGTTCTAAATGTGGACTTTGGGCACCAGGCATAGGTAGTGTTACCCTCTACCCCAAACTGTTACAGAGAAAAAGTCAGGGCTAGAAGGGTCCTTGGAGGCCATCTGCTAATCCCACCGAATGTGTAAATTATCCCATACACAGCATTCCCACAACAATGAGAACTGTTAAACCCCGAGAAACCAAAGCACCTAAGGATGAGGATGGGGCCATCTGAGCTCTCAGGCCCTTACCTACAAGCAAAGATGTGGCCATATCAAATTAGCAAAGCAAGTGACTATAGACAGTTAATGGACAGAGAACCATGGTCCTTGGGTCCCAGAGTAAGAGGCGGGTTAGATACAGAACCACCACGTCGGGAGAGGTTATGGCAGATTCTGTCACCCTACAGGAAGGAAACGACAAGGAAGCAGTGCAGAAATGCACGTGATACTGCAATGCTTCAAATCAAACCGAAGTAAAGCAGCAGCAACTGTTAGACATGCCGAGCAGTTCAGTGCTCCTGTAGCCGTAGTCTCATTTTGAAGGACCTAACAGATTCCACAGTTCTTGCCAGCGCTACACCCTACTTGCTGCTCACAGCAGACCTTGAAATTGAGTTCCGCTGAGGAGGAGAGGGGTGGAGCCTCTGGGCAGGAAAGGATCACCTGGGTAGGCGTTTCCTGATTACCAGGACAGGCCGGGTCAAAGCTTCTCCCAAGGCACCGGAGGTCCCAGTTGGGGAGAGATTGGAAGAGAGCTGGAGGCGAGGCTTGCTTGAATATTCCTGCACACTGCTGTTCACACACCCTTCTGGAGTTTCCTTCCAGATCAACAGGCTGGTGATCGGGCACGACAGCACAGGCATGCATGCAGGCTGGTTCCTGGGCAGCGTCCAGATCCGTGTGCCCCGCCAAGGCAAGCAGTACACCTTCCCTGCCAACCGCTGGCTGGATAAGAACCAGGCAGATGGGCGTCTGGAGGTGGAGCTTTACCCCAGCGAGGTCGTGGAGATTCAGAAATGTATGGAAGAGCCTGTATGGGCCCTTGGCACCTCAGCATTCCCTGGTCCAATTGGGGAGGAGGAATAATGGAATCAGAGGAAGGAGGGGCCAAAGGAAGGAAGACAGGCCACGTGGTGACTGAGTCTTATCTCCTTGTGGTGTGGAAGAGAGACACGGGTGGGAGTGGAAGTGGGGGGTTCCTGTTGCCTCTAGTACTGTGGGTCTGGAAGGGAACAAGGGCTCATTTCACAGATGGCAAAAACGAGGATCTTGGAGAAATATAGAAAAAAGGGGGGGAATGTATATTCTCAACCCTGTGGCAAAATTTATGGCATAGCCTACATCTCTCTTTAGGAAAACTAGCTGAGGAGGTCGGACTTTTCATTTTAGATGTATATTGAGGTTTCTCCAGCCAGTCCTACCTTGGTCTTTGTGAAGGTCGCTGTTAACAAAACAGACCAAAGTCATGTACTTGTGAGGGAGTGAGTAGATTGCCTTATAGGGAAGCGAGAACTCTAGGCTGGATGGAGCGGGGTCAGAGGGGAGGGTGAGCAGACAGGCTTGGTGAGCAGCTTCTTCTGAGAAGCTAAAGGCCAGGATGGCTCTGGCCCTGTCTTCCAAGGACCATGATGTGAGCCCTCACTCCTTGAACAGAACGAAATGGGCTTGCTGAGCAACCAGGGCCAGTTGGGCTAGGGTCCCCAGCACTTACTGAGGAGAGAGGTGGGGTGTGCGCATCTGCAGTCTCAGTGCCGTGTGGGTCAGAGAGAGAAGAGATGAGTGGACCCTGGAGTTCACTGGCCAGGGAGTCAAGGCTAAGCTGATAAGCTCAAATTTCTGTGAAAGGCTTAGTCTCAAAAAGTGAAGGTGGAGAGAGATAGAGGATGACACCACACACACACACACACACACCCCTAACTTTACCTAAATAGAAATCCTGATATTCTTTTCCACCAAGTCTTAGAGCACTCACATCCACGGACTCATGGTGCCACGGTTCCTTAGGAAGACACATCTACTCTGCAGTGCCTGCTACTGCTACCTACCAATAACACATTTCCGCCACCCTCTAATACCTTGATAAATATCATTTCAAAATATGCACAGCTTTTTCTGTGCAGGACCACGTGTTGATGTATTCTGAAAGGCGCTTATATTTAAATGAGCGCTGTCATCCCAACCTCTTGTCTTTCCTGAAATGAAGGAAAATAAATGCAGCTTTTGCTTCTTCCTGCCCTGTGGTATCTGCCTAGTATCAGTAGCTTTATAATTTAATTTAATTTTTGTTGCTACAATGTAGTATTATAATAGTATGGTAGCAGTACTCTCTATATATAGACTATATAATGTGGGATGAACCCAAACTAATTGGTTTACAGCTCTGTACCCTGGAAGCTCAGTACTAATGTGCTGGCATGGCTGAGAGTCTTCTTGATGCCTTCTGTCACAGCAGATAGGGACAGAGAAAGAAGGGGGCACACTCAATCTCAGCCAGAAGGCCTGATGGCTTCTTAAGCTTCTACATCTCATAATCACAACTAGATTTCAGTGTGAGTCTTAGCGGGAGCAAGCATTCAAACTACAGCAGGCAGGCAGATAATAGAGAGTGCCAGCCATTGCGGGGTCCCCCTCGCTTCTGGCCTCCAAGGACAATGTGCTGCAGTGGATGAGATGATGTAACAGACGATTGTATAGGTTTGCCCTTTTCACAACCTACTCAATTCTTCTAAGCCTAAACTTGTCCATCTGCAAAATGCTGGCTCATCATACCGGGGAGGTTGCACAAGACGATGCCCGTGAAGGACCAGACACGCGGGATGAGCTTGGGAAGCGCAGGTGGGAAGGGCTGGGAAATGTTTGCTCCTCTTACTAAATACTCCATTTCTCCCATATGTGTCCACCTAGTGGTCCACTATGAGATTGAGGTCTGGACGGGGGATGTAGGCGGCGCAGGCACCACTTCCCGAGTCTATGTGCAGATTTATGGTGAAGAAGGCAAGACCGAAGTACTCTTCCTCTCCAGCCGCTCCAAAGTTTTTGATCGAGCATCCAAGGACATATTCCAGGTGTGTGAGTGTGAGGCCATGGGGGTGCCAACAGAGACTGGCGGTTACTGTGGCAGTGTCCTGAGTACACCCACTGGAGAACAGGCTGCCTCCCTCCAGCTGAATGGAAGGTGTTACCTGGAGGACAGGTTGAACTAAAATTCCCTTGGGTTCCTGGAAGCAATGAGCTGAGTGTAGAGGCTTGAACTGGGAAGGAGAAAATGTGGGTACGCATCCATGGTCCACCTCGTGCCCATGAATGGTAACTTGTTTCTTGGACCTGAGTTTGGGGTCCTTCCTGGTCTTGTACTTGTGTTACTTGGTGATCTTTGAGGAAAAGTACTACCTCATCCACACCCCCAAAGCACTCCAGCCTTTGGGAGTGGGTGTGTTCTCAGAGATAGTTTTCTCATGGAAGTTCAATCAGGGATTCCTGATATATTGCCTGCAGTGGCTAGTTCTCATTTCATCGATGATGGCACCAGGACTAGGTTTCTCCGCCTACTCCCTGTCTATGGCTCTGACTCTGAGCTTCTCCCAGGCTGGTGACAAGTCTGTCTTTCTCAGGCAGTCTCCTGGGAGGTGGCAGAGTTTACTAATGAGTTTTTAATGTCCTTGAGCTTCTTCTCTCCATATTGCAAGTTTTTGACTAGAAGGAGAAAATGATGTCAATGTGAGCACATTGTTGGTAACAGGGAGGATGCAGAGGCCACTGGGTATTTTATACTGGATATGAAAGCATTTGTGTGTGTATGTGTGTATATGTACAAGCTCATGCATGTGCATCTGCAGACATGTGTGCAGAGGAAGCACGCTCATGCTGGGTGTTCCATGGTTGACCTCGACCTCAAACACCTTAGTCTTCAATGGAGAGCTTTCTCCAATGACCAGGAAAGGTCCTGAGTTGGGGACAGCCAGGGTCACGAATGTCTGAAACATTACAGGTATAGGCCCTTCATGGGTGTAACAGGATGAGTGGGCTGCTAGTCATCCTGGCCTCCCAGCTAGCTTACACCTGAAATAATCACACAGAAACTGTATTCATTTAAACACTGCCTGGCCCATTAGCTCTAGCTTCTTATTGGCTAACTCTTACATTTTAATTTAACCCATTTCTGTTAATCTGTGTATTGCCACGTGACTGTGGCTTACCAGCAAGATTCTAACCAGCGTCCATCTCAGGCAGGAGATCCATGGTGTCTGCCACTCTGCCCTTCTTCCCAGCATTCAGTTCTGTCTACCTAAGTTCTGTCCTATCAACTAGGCCAAGGCAGTTTCTTTATTCATTATCCAATGGAAGCAACACACAAACAGAAGGAACTCCTACACCACATGGGCTCATATGTCCTCCTACACTGTTGACAAGCCCAAGCCTACATATTTGACCTGTTGGGACCTCCTTGGCTTCCTCGTCAGTATCACCAGTTTGTCATTACTGCCTGGTTGGCTTCACAGTCCCCATGGCAGTGAAAAGAGCCAGGGTCAGATACACAGTCAGAAATGTAACTGAGCCCACTGGATTACAGTTCCTATCCCCTGAATAACAAAGGAGAAATTCTGCTTTACCTAGGTCCTAGTCACCATATTGCTTGATGATTTCCTGACAAAGGTGGGTCATCTCCACTGTGGTTCCCTGAATCTGAAGTCTGGGGAGCTGTGTTCTCATCTGGGTCTGGCATTAAAGTGCGTGACTCTGACAGCCTTGGGCCTCAGATCGCTGGCGCTCAAATGGGGTAACTGGTGGGACTAGACTTTGAAAAGAGTTGAGCGTGAAGATGGACTCGCTCTAAAGGCGCTCAGGAGAGCCAAACACACTTAGTGTTGTGCTCCCCTCAAAATCTGATCCCCAGTTCCCTCTTCCTGAGACTGTGGAGCTCATGACAGAGTGAAATGGATCTGAGGCTAAGGGTGAGCCACTGTGCCCTCGGCCCATGGGAAGAGACTTCAAAGGGTGGTCTTTGTCCCTAAAAGGAGCCCGAGCCCAAGGCTTGTATTAATTTCTTTTTTCATTACTGTGACAAAATACTGGAAAAATCAGTGTGAGGACAAGAGTGTTTGTTTTAGTTTATGGTTGAGAATGATGGGGTCCATCGTGATAAGGAAGGCATGGTGAGGGTTGAGGCAGCCGGTCACATCACATCTATAGTGACAAAGTAGAGCTTGCAGGAATGTGGCTGAGCTCTAAGACCGTGAGGTCCATTCCTAGTGACTCAGTCCCTTCAACAGGGCCTCTGAAGGGTTCACAACTTTCAAAACAGTGCCACCCTCCAGAGACTGGGTGTTCAGACGCAGGAGCCTGTGGGGGTTGTTTTATATTCAAACCACAGCACAGCTCTGGAGCACCTCCATGGCAGGAGGACCAGGGATAACTACATTCTGGGCCCCATTTGAGCTCAAGGGTCTGGTAAGGCAGGGTTGTGCGACTGGGAAGGTTGGAAACCTTGGAGAAAATGTTTGAGGATTTTGTTTATTTGATATGTTACAAAAGAGAAACACGTTTCTTTGTTTATTGCTAAATGTATCTTCCTAATAGTAACCACATGAAGGCTCTGTCTGTGGTTTTTTGTTTGTTAGGTTGTTTTGTTTTTCCAAGCAGGGTTTCTCTGTGTAGCCCTGGCTCTCCTAAATTCATTCTGAAGACCAGGCTGGCCTCCAACTCACAGAACTCTCCTACCTCTGCCTCCTGGGTGCTGGGATTAAAGGCGTGTGCCACAGCCTCCAGGCTCTGTCTGTGTGTGTTTAGGGTAATAAGGAGGCCCAGGATTGTGAATAGGTTGGAGCTGGAAGTGAGAAGGGACTGACAGAAGTGCTAGCATTGTGAGGGAGTTGTATAAACCAAGACATAGAAGGAAGAGTAGGGACGAAAGAACAGGGAGATTAATGCCACAGGAGTAGAAAGAAATGTTTTTTCTTAAACCTGGGGAAGGGCCAGGCACAGTGGGGAAGCAGGAACTTTCAAACTTCTGAGTGAGGGCCCAGATCTCTCTGCAGGGCAGCTCAGCACTGGGGGAGGCTGGGAGGATGGCAGGGGCCATGCCAGCCACTGCCCTGCACTTTGCACAGCTGGAAGCGGCAGATGTGGGTGAAATCTACAAGATCCGACTGGGACACACCGGCGAGGGCTTTGGGCCCAGCTGGTTCGTGGACACCGTGTGGCTGAGGCACTTGGTGGTGCAGGAGGCAAACCTGACACCTGAGGAGGAGGCCCGGAAGAAGAAGGAGAAGGACAAGCTGCGGCAGTTGCTGAAGAAGGAAAGGCTGAAGGCCAAGCTGCAGAGAAAGAAGAAGAAGAAGAGGAAGAAAGGAAGTGATGAGGAGGATGAGGGCGAGGAGGAAGAAGAGTCCTCTTCAGAAGAGTCCTCGTCAGAAGAGGAGGAAGAAGAAGAAACAGAGGAGGAGGAGGAAGAAGAGGAGGAGTTTGGGCCCGGGATGCAGGAGGTGATCGAACAGTACAAGTTCGAAGTCAACCGCTGGCTGGCCCGGGGCAAGGAAGACAATGAACTTGTCGTGGAATTGGTCCCAGCTGGTCGGTCTGGTCCTGAGCGTAAGCCTGAAAAAAAAAGTTGGGGGGGGGGGGATATTTCTCCTAAAGGGACCAGGGAGGGGGCAGGGTGACTCAGTATCCCTCAGGTAGAGACTAAGTGGTGGAATCCCACTGTGGTCCATAAATACCTCTCCTGACTTGCACTTGGAAAGTGACCATTGATCCGCTTGTTTGGAGCTAAACACTACCCTTGACCTGTCCCTTCAAGGGGAAACACTGGCTTTGGGAGAGACTTGTCACACATCTTGATAGAGCTGAATATGCGGGTAAAGTAGGAAGGTTGCTGAGGCCCAATGGCTGTGGATTTCATGGCAAATGCAAGCATTGGGTGTGAGGAGAGTAAGCTTGTATAGCCATAGCAGTGGGACTTTCCTGCTTCCAGGGTCTACTTGGATCCAAGGGCCTGGGACACTGCTCTATCTTGTGACCCCGGTGTTCTCAACGCTGCATTTTTCTGTGTCTCCAGCCAACACCTACGAGGTCCAGGTGATCACAGGGAATGTGCCCAAGGCTGGCACTGATGCCAACGTCTACCTGACCATCTACGGAGAGGAATATGGGGACACAGGGGAGCGGCCTCTGAAGAAATCAGACAAGTCCAACAAATTCGAGCAGGGCCAGGTAGAGTGAGAACTTTCTGGCCCCTGGGTGGGTGAGAGCCAGATATGGAACAGTTTTTGCCCATAGCAACCTCAGCCAGTATCTTTTTCACTGTGTGTCTAACAGGGTGTTGTATTCAGCCCAACGAGGCCTGGCTGCAGCTACCCTTCCATAGGTAGCAGTATTTTGTGGAGAGTTATGAAAAGGCTAGAGGCAGATCCCCGCAAAAGAATCCCATAGGCTAGTTGGTCTTCAGGGTCAGTCAGAGAATACTCTATTCAGAAACTAAGTGAACCGAGTTTAAAAGCTAGATGTGTTTCTATCTTTTGTGTATGGGTCACTTGCATGTATGTCTGTCTACTGTGTGTATTCAGTGCCCACAGAGGTTAGAAGAGTGCATAAGATCCCCTGGGACTGGAGTTATAGGCAGCTGTAAATGACCATGTGAGTGTTGGGAATCAGATCTTAGTCTTCTAGAAGAGGGACAAATGCTCTTAACTGCAGAACCATTTCTCCAGCCCTTGAGTTTGAGGCCAGTCTCTACTATATAGTGAGACTCTGTCTCACAAGACAAAGAGGTGACACTCTGGGAAGCTTGATGGACAGGAATGAAGTGTGGTGGAACTGTGTGACAGGGGCAGAGGGATTCCCACCATGACCTTGAAAGAGTGGTCACAAAGCCTGACGCTTCTTTGGAGGAAGGGAAGCCATGAATGACGTGCGTGCACCTCACTCTTCCAGGAACAAGGGAAAGACGTGGAAATGAGAGCTGAAGAAAGCTGCTCTCTTGTCCTTCAAGATTTTACAAACTCACCTGTCCCTCCCTCCTGTCTTCCTCCTGTTCTTGACCCTCCCTCCGGACCAGGTTCTCTTGTCAACACAGGAAGGGACAATAAATAAGATCTGCTGAAGTACTTTCCAGCTCATGCCACGAGCTATTTCCTTTCCACCCATGTTTTCTTTCAGCATCCCTCCCATGATTCAGTACTACGTTTTGTTTCTGCATCTCGGTGCCTTATCTTGGAAAGTTATCGCCATTGTATTTCTGGATTGGAGTATTCCTGTAGAGGACAGACTGGGAGAGTTGTTGCAGTCGGTATTAATACTGGTCGCATGTGGATAATAGCACAGCCATGTGACATTTCAGCAGATAAGAATGGCGGGTGTGATGTGGTCCCCTAAGAGTGTACCACCTAGTGGTATTGAGCCATCTCAAATTGTGTAAACACACAGTATGCTGTTTGTTAGTGAACTTACCTAGCAATGTGTTTCTCAGAATATTATCTCTATTCTCAAGTACCCATGACTGTATTGTGATGAAATTAACACAAGTTTGATCACTGCGTGATGGTAAATGAGAATGCCCTTGTTATTAGGGACCCACATTGAAATAGTTAGGGGTCAAGGATCCTAGTATCTACCACCTACTATAAACTGTTCCAGAAAAAAAAAACATACAAAGAACACACAAGAGAGACAAAATGGAATAATCCAACTAATGTTGCATATAGGGGTAACATCTAAGAGAAGGTAGGCCACAGTTATATCTATTTTTGCAAGGTTTCTGAAGGTTTGAAATCTTTTTCAAAATAAAGGGGATTTTAAAGATGTATCCAGAAAACCCCATCCACTTACTGGCTCTCCATTTTATCTAGATCTGAGGGCAGCATGGGGTGGGTGTGGGAGCTGACATGTGTTGCCCCTCTGAGTCATGCTTTCTCTATATTTAGACAGATACCTTTACCATCTACGCCATTGACCTGGGGTCTCTGACCAAGATTCGGATTCGCCATGACAACACAGGCAACAGGCCAGGCTGGTTCCTGGACAGGGTAGACATCACCGACATGAATAATGAGATCACGTGAGTGGGACTTGAGGGGAGGGAGAAGAGGTTATGCTGGCACTAAACTGGTCCTGGAGAGAGGACCAGGTACTGGAACGTGATGTTTGAGGGTGAGGGTCGGTTGGCTAAGGCCAGGATGACAGTAAGGAATCAGGGTGAGCATTGCCTCTCTTCTCTCCCTCCCAGAAGTTCTAGTCCTGTCAGATAACAGCCCTGTAGAACACCCCTTCAGCAGTTCACCCCCAACTCTCCACGGAGAAATAAACTTACAGCACCTGGTTTTAGTGCTCCAGGGGCCAGAGATCAGCAACATTTTCTAAAAGGCCCATATAGAAAACACTTTCAGTTTTCCACAGCATTTGATCTCGTTAAAAGACTCTCTACTGGGAAAGTAAAACCTGAGCTTAAGCGAGCATGCTGGTATGCAGGTTTAACCCCTGCATTTAGGAGACAGAGGCAGACAGTTCTCTATGAGTTCAAGGCCAGCTTGGTCTACATAGCGAGTTGTAGGCCAATCAGAGCTACATAGTAAGACCCTGTCTCTAAACAACAACCTTAAATGACGCTGAAATGGGGAATGGGGCTGTGTGCCAATCTGTGGACATTGAAATTTGAATTTCATGCCCCAAAGTGTTATTGTTCTTTCAACTTTTTCTTCTCAACAAGATGCAAAATCCGTGGTTAGTTTGATGCATGTAATGGTTTGTGAGCTGGACTGGTACCTGTTGGAGACTCATAGTCAGTCTCTGACCTAGGCTGGGAAGGAGGTGTTTCCATAAATGGAGGAGCCCATGTACCCTGGAAGGTTGAGCCCTAGCCCCATGCCTTAGTTTGGGTTTTTTTTTTCTTTTTGCTGTGAAGAGACACTATGACCACAGCAACTCTTATAAAGAAAACATTTAATCAGGGTGGCTCACTTACAGTTTTTTTTTTTTTTGAGGTTCAGTCCATTATCATCATGACAGGGAGCATGGTGTGCAGGCAGGCATAGTGTTGGAGCTGAGAGTCCTACATCTTGCAATCAACAGAAAGTAGACTGTCACATTGATAGAAGATTAAGAAAAGAGACCTCAAAGCCCACAGTGGCACATTTCCTCCAATAGGGCTACACCTCCTAATAGGGATACTTCCCTTGGGGACAACTTTCTTTCAAACCACCACATTCCACTCCCTGGTCTCCAAAAGCTTATAGACAAACTGCATTCAGTCCAACTTCAGGAGTCTACAACAGTCTCAAACTTGTTTCAAAGCCCAAAGTCTCTTCTGAGATGCATGGCAATCTCTTAACTGTAATCCCCTGTAAAAATTAAAATCAAAAACAGATCACATACTTGCAACACATGGTACAGAGCATATATTACCATTCCAAAACTCGAGGAAAGGAGCATAGAAATGCTAGATCAAAGAAGAGCAAAAACCTACTGGGAAAATGCCAAACTCTTCATCTCCATGTCTGATGTCAAAACACTCTTCGGAGCTCCAACTCCATTCAGGTTTGACTGCAGCAAACTTCTCTCTCTTGGGCCAGTTCCACTCCCTGTTAGCAGCTCTCCTTGGCAGGAATCCCACGACTCTGGCATCTCTAACATCTTGGGGTCTTGAAGGCAATTTGGGCTTCAACTTCATAGCTTCACACAATGACCTCTCTCCTAGGCCTTCGTTCAGGGACACCCTGACATGTACCTAGCCTCAGTGACTTTATTATGTAACTCCGTTCTTCTCACCTTAACTCTAAAACCAGAACCGTGTGGCCAAAGATGCCAAGTTCTGCTGCTTATTGGTTCTGGAACATGACTCTCACTCAATTATATCTTCACCAGCTTTACGCCTTTCTCTGCCTACGCTTGGCTGTTCTCGAACTTGCCGTGTAGACCAGCCTAGTCTCAGACTCAGAGATCCACCAGCCTCTGTCTTTCAGTGCTGTGCTGTGTTCCTACCACTAGGTCACACTGCCTATTAGATGAGGGGACTGGCAGAGGGCTCTTCCACGGGGAGTTCAGTGACGGCACAGGAAAGCATGCTGGTTCTGGAATGGCATCAGGACTGCCTAGGGTCTGACACTATGGGAAATTTAGTAAGCCCTTAATAAATTAATATTTGTTGGATAAATTTCTTGGCCTACAGCCTGCTGTGTCCTGAACCTTGTCCTTCTTTTGGGCCAACTTCCATACAAAACAGGAGGTAACGAGACTCACCCTATTCCCCCACAAACCCTACCTGGTCGTTTCAAGGATACCCGATGCATACCTCACAGATAGCTCAGTGTTCTCATTGCCAAAACAATTTTGGTAACCATAGGATCCTGACCTGCATGGATCCGCTGCCAAACTCATGCTAGGTTACCCAGCACCTGTCACTGCTTCGTTATGGCTGTCATTTCCTCCTCTAAGAAGCTGGCTTTTTGGCACTGCCCTGCTTACTTCCCAAGGTGCCCCAGCAAGTCAAAGGCTTTCAGCTCAGAAAGGACAGGGAAAGCTGAGAGACAGGCTGGAGGGAGACTGCGCTCAGCTTCCCCTCCGGCTAAGGCAGGGTTGGTTACTCGGTTCTGTTGATTTGACACATCTGGTCCAGCCCAACAATTTAAAAATTATTGTAGCTTTGTAATCTATTTGAATGTCTGTCAGCACTTGTCCTCTTTCATTACCCTCTAAGAATATCAGCTATTCTTACCTTTTCCAAATCAAGACATTAAGTGATTTGGAAAAAGAAAAAAAGCTCCTCTTGGGAGTTTGACTGTTCTGCCATTAAATGAATGTGTGGAGAACTGTATATTTAGAAATTAAAGTGCCACCCCCCAGGTACATTTCCTCTCCTGTCCGACTGTTCTTTTGTGCATCTCAGGAATTTGCAAGAACTTTTTACTCTGCACAGTTAGGGGTTCTGGTTACATCGGTGTCCAGGCAGAGTGTGTTCCTATTCTTGTGAAAGGAAGGTTCCTCGCTGGTTTTTGCATCCTTCCTCATTTCTCCATCCTGCCCCATGTTTTTCTGTGCACATGTCACTGGTTTGTTATTCATTAGTAAGAAATCGTCTTTAGTGAGGGTCTGTAATGAGCTGTCTTCAACAGCCCTCACAATGACAACGAGCACAGCTTAATCTTGGAGGAAAAGAGACATTCTCACAAGATAAGGACGGTGTCAGTGTTCTCAACCCCCTGACCAATCTCACTCATGAGCATTGATGCAAAAATACTCAATAAGATACCGACAAATCAAATGCAAGAGCACATCAGAAAAATCATCCACCATGATCAAGTAGGCTTCATCCCAGAGATGCAGGGGTAGTTCAGCACAGTGACTCACTCTTGCCCTCCCTGTCCGTCTTCCTCGGCCATCCAAGTGTTGGGCTGACGTCACACCCTCTGATCTTCTTCTCTAACATTTGGAGTTGCTGAGGACACAGAGAAAAGGAGACACTCTCCAGAATACCGCCCGCCCTAGAGCTGAGTTAGTTCCTAAATGACCCTTTCACATCAGGGCAAGGAGAAAGGGAACAGCTGGAGAGCAATGGCCCCCAGCTTATAGAGGGGCTGCATGCTCAGACCTTTTGAGTTGTCCTGGGTCTTAGACATTGACCTACAGCCTCTAAAGGTGTCCTGGCATGGCTGAGGAGAAGAAAAGGGGGGAAGGAAAGAAAGAAGAGCAACAGTGGTTGAGTTAGCAGATTCCTCCAGAGAGCCTACCCTTAGCCACACAAGTATATGCCAAATATCAGGTGGGATATGGACAAAACATGATCCATTGTTTGTGTAAAGTTTAAACATGACTGGGGAGGGGGGTCCTGGCCCTCCGTTTTCAAAATCTGACAATCCTAGGAAGGAGTTTGCTCAATACTACACAGGGTTAGCAGGAGTCTGGGAACAGGAACCAGAGCATTGACCTGTAGAAGTGAGTCCTTACTTGTCTACCGCCCCCCATTCTGGCCCACCTTCCTCTCTGGGCCCCTCCAGTCCTTAAGCTCCCGTCTATCCCCCCATTCTGGCTCACCTTTCTCTCCGAGCCCCTCCAGTGTACTGGGTATGCTTTTCTATGGAGGAGTCTTCATGGACATCATCTCCCTTGATGACTGTGAGGTCACTTTCTACTTCTTAGAGATACTCTGTCTTCCCCCAATGTCATCAAAGTTCATGGACTGCATACATGGGTGTGGTGCACCTGCCTTGTGCAGCACTGTGCCAGAGGAGCCAACTCAGATTGTCCAGGAAGGCATAATAATGGTTCTTATAAGCCCCTCTCTTTCTAGATTTTTCTACTCAGCTCACGGGCTGAGCGTGTCTCTGGATTTATTATTTACCTCCAGCAGACTGTGGGTAATTCCTAGACTGGGCAGAATGGGTGGGCAATGCCGTGGAAGTCACAAAAGGGGAGTCTGAGCCCATGCAGGACCTGCATTCTAAGCCTGTTTCAACTCCCATATGAGATTATCTCAAAGAGACACCCCAATCTTCCTTACCCTACCCCTCAGGTACTACTTCCCGTGCCAAAGGTGGCTAGCAGTGGAGGAGGATGATGGGCAGCTGTCCAGGGAGCTGTTGCCAGTGGATGAGTCCTATGTGCTACCCAGCGAAGATGAGGAGGGTGGAGGACATGGTGACAACAACCCCCTTGACAACCTGGCTCTGGAACAAAAAGGTTCCTTGTATTAGAGATGACTTTCCCATCCCCCATTTTCTCTTCTTTTCTCCCTCCATTTTCTCCCCCCTCCCACTTCTCTTTCCCTTTCCCCTCTGTTTTCTTCCCTACTTATAGGTTCTAGGCACTTCCTGCTGGATACTCTAGCTGTCCTGCCCTTTCCTCCTGCCGTGGAGAGATTGTAGAAGTTGTGGGGGAGGGGGCAGGCTCCCATATGCCTACCATAGGATTTGGAGTAAGGTGGTTCACAGCTAGGGTTGTGTTATTCAGGGACAAAATGATTGAGCTAGTTCTGATTTATCTTTTGTTCTCCCTCAGGGGCATTTCTGGGCTCCTGAGGTATATTTCTGTGGAAGAAGTATTAACTGACTAGAGGCCCGTGATGCTCATCTCAGTCCCTAAAGCCCTGTCCAGTCTGGAGAGGTCAGAGAGGTCAGACCGGAGCTCCTGGCTATGGGCTGCTAACACCCAAGTCACCTCATGCCTCCCTGACCGTGTACCACCTCTACAGACCAAGGGCTTCCTATAGGCAGGGCAGAGACGTTTCTATATCTTGAGGGGGTTTCTGGAGTTAAAGGCACCACAAAGAAAGCTGTTTGCAGGACTGACCACATGAACAGACCTGTTTTTATGTTGACCATGGCCATCACAGGTAGAGGATGATACAGGGGAGGAACTGGAGTGACAGAGCCACAGTGGACAGATCAAGCAGCCTTCTCTCCCGCTCCTTGGGGTCCCCAGGTGATCTGTGGTTCACTTCTGTGCCCTCTTCCCCGGCAGATAAATCCACCACATTCTCAGTGACCGTCAAGACTGGGGACAAGAAGAATGCCGGTACAGATGCCAATGTCTTCATCACACTCTTTGGCACGCAAGATGACAATGGTAAGGAACACAGCATTTTCCTGAATGCCCTGGTGGACTTAGCAGCAAAGGAACCCTCGCCCTAACTGTGCCCCCAAAATCACCTGGAAGAAAGGACTCTTTCAAGTCCAATAAAACTCAGCCCTGCAGGGTCCCAGGGTCCCCTCCTATGAGGTCTTCAGGAAGTGCCAGCGTTGTTCCAGACGCTGGATGGTGACTCCATGAGGGTGGCACCTTCATATAGTGCTGTCACCTTCCACTCTATCCTCCCCTGGCCGATTCTTCAAGGAGTCTCTGTGCGTTAACTGGAAGCTCTGTGCTGAGCACCACTGAAGAACAAATGGACTTAACCCCAAGCTTCCCATCTACAGCAGTGATGTACTGATCCAAAGCATAGCTCTGAAACCTGATTCATTCAAATTCCCATTCATTCTGGTATTGGCTGTGTGATCAGGGGCAAGTGCTTAACCACCCTGTGCCTTTCCCATTTGTTAGATATAAAGTTTTATGCATGTCTCAGGGCTGTGACTTTTATTACACAGAACACTTAAAATTTAGGGGTCAGTGAACATCAACTGTCACTATTACTTAGGGGGTTGAATAAAGCTGATGGTGTATAATGAATTAGGTCACAGTTGATAATCACTGTGCTTGCGATGGTCCCTGCATCATTTCCCAGAGAAGTGAGGGGCTCTGCCACTGCCCTTTCTCTCCTGGGCCTCTCTGCTGTCAGCCACATTCCTGAGCGCTTAGAATCCTCGTCTTCTTCAGACCTCACAGTGGCCCTGTGGGGAGAGCACCAGGCCACCTTTTTGAGGGTTGAGGAAGACAAGTCATAGACATCAAGCAGTTTCCCCAGGACCACTGGCTGGCAGGAGGCTGAACTGGGCACCAGGATCTGTCTGTCCTCTGAGCACTCCAGTCTGCCTGCCAAAAGGCTTTCTGTCTGAGAGCCTCAACCTGGGGAGGGGACTTCAAGGCAGCATGGTAGGAGAAGGTAGGAGAGGATGTTGAAGACTGAGTGCCCCTCAGGTTTCAAGCCGACACCACAGCCAGCCCGTGAGGGCACCTGAAGCCATCTCTCCTTGTGAGTCCAGGTATGTCTCCAGACAGTGTTTGCACATGGTATCCCCACATGAGCTTGGGGAAGGTGACCTTGTCACTGGCTCTGTCCCCATGCAGAGAACTGCCAGGCTTGTGGGAGAAGAGCCCACACTGGCTGGACGCCCTGCTGCCGTCTCCTGCAAGGAAATGGAGATGGGTTTTCTTTAGATGCAGATGGGGAATTGCATGAGTTTACATGAAAAGGTTTTAAAAAAAATTATAAACACACACATAACATACACACCACACATCATATATATACCACACATACAACCATATACACACACCACACACACATACATATACCACACACACATACATACCATACACACATACATACCATACACACAGCATACAAACACACTCACCACACACACACGTACAGACCACACACACACACCATACATATACCACACACACATACATACCATACACACAGCATACAAACACACTCACCACACACACACGTACAGACCACACACACACACCATACATATACCACACACATACATACCATACACACAGCATACAAACACACTCACCACACACACACACCATACATATACCACACACACATACATATACCACACACACATACATACCATACACACAGCATACACACACACATACAGACCACACACACACGCACACATAGGTGCCCACTGGGAGGCGTGACATCTTTGATCTTTGGTGGAAGTTCAGAAGGTTGGTCATTATGAGGAAGAAGGAAGAATAGTGGATGAGTCAGGCTGGGAGAGTCTTAGAACCATTCAGTCACATTCAGTCATGCTGGGATTGTCTGGTTGGCAGGAATCACCCTCCTGAAGTCCTCCAAGACCAACAGTGACAAATTTGAAAGGGACAGCATTGAAATCTTCACAGTGGAGACGCTGAATTTGGGAGACCTGTGGAAAGTTAGGATCGGCCATGACAATACAGGTCTGGTTTCCCTTCCTTCCATTCTCAGGTAAATCTAGAGAGCCCACGGAAAGGTCAGTGTGGGCTGCACGACTTTTATAACAACACAGTATCTCAGTCTCACTTGCCCAGAGGAGCCCTGGCTGCACCGGTTCTGGGATTGTTGATCTTCATTGGGACCTGGACGTAGGTGACTTGGGAAACCTCTATCCAGATTCCAACCTCGGGAATCTTAATGTGCAACTGGATTATAGAGCCCCTGAGAAAGCTTAGTGGGTCTCTAACCTGATGGTTCACTAGTCACCCAGAGTGGGAGGGGATACTAGAACATGACTTCTAGGTCCACCCCAGCATCTCTGACTTGGGGTTCTGTGCTTATCTTTTGAGACCCTTGCTCATGCATAGCTGCTAGCCTAGGGACCCCCGTTGAGGAGCCAATAAGCCAGCCATTTCTTCCTGGAACCCAGGACTTCATGACAAAGCAGCCCGACAAAAGTTGTGTCCATATTTTTTTCATGGTACAGTAGGTCTCCACTCTTCCCCAAACTTTCATTTCTTAGCTCGAGGAAGAAACTCTGTCCTAGAAGCAGGTGCTGTCGGGACTGTAGGATGCGGGTCTCTGCCTGACTTTCATTTCCTTCCCTAAGCTGAGTGCTGTCTCTGCTTTCGTCCATCACAAATAGAACCAGAAAGCTCTGAGCATCATCCCCAGCTAAGATCTCCAAGAATGCAAGCTTTCCTTAGCTCCTTGTTTAGAGCTTTGCCCACCCTGAATGCCTTTTTGCTTCCATTGCTTGGGCTTGCCTACCCTGTTACCTCCTCCCGGTGCTCCTCCCAGACCAACAATGGCCAGCACCAATTTATGCTTGTTTCCCTGGCCCGGCCCGAGTGGGATGCAGTTTTAGCCATGTACACATCTCAGTAAGAGTCATCTGGGCAATGCTGTCAGCCAAAGGGTGCTATAGGACTGATGGATTCTGGATGACCACATCAAGAAAGGAAGGGTGCTGGGAGTTTCTGAGTTCACCCACAGGAAACCATATTGTACATGTTCTTAGTGGGCTCTCTCTCTCCCCGCCCCCTTTCTCTCTCTCTCTCTCTCTGTCTCTCTCTCTCTCTCTCTCTCTCTCTCCCATCTCCAGGCAAGGCCCCAGGCTGGTTTGTAGACTGGGTAGAAGTGGACGCTCCCTCTCTTGGAAAGTGCATGACTTTTCCCTGTGGCCGCTGGCTGGCCAAGAATGAGGATGACGGGGCCATCGTCAGGGACCTCTTCCACGCTGAGCTTCAGACACGACTCTACACACCATGTAGGAACCCTCATGGAAAGGCGGGCCCTCCCGGGAGACCCTATAACCTGTCCCTCCCAGCTCCAGCTCTTCCTCCACAGTTGACTTGGGGCCAAACCCACCTCGGAGATTCTGTTCAATTTTTTTGTCCCTTCCTCAAATGTCCTGAGCTCTGGGGTTGAGGGAATACTGTGGGCCTAGCCCAGGACCCTAAAACCAGATAATATTGGATTTATTCTAAACTAGGCCCCACAGTAGCTGATGACAAGACATCGTCTAGTTTCTCCAGGACTCCGTTTCCTCATCAAGGTCTCTGAGGAAGGATCTCTACTACCTTCTTTACTCCCAAGGGCCCAGCAAGGCTGAGCTTCTATTTCTCAACAAGCTCTAAGTAGAGTCTTGTTGAGACTAATAGAGTCCAGAGGGCCTGTGGTCATTTATGTGAACCACCTCTCCCTGTGGCTTGTGGGTAGGCATCAGTAATTCCCCCCAGTTAACCCCAGAACTAGTCTTTGTAGCGCTGAAGTCAGACAAGCATGGGCACAGGCTTCACCATAGGACCCTAGACTATTTCACCCCTCTGTGTCTTGCTTTCTCCTCTGATAAAATGGGCACAGTAATACCTGCCCCATTGGAAGTGCGGGGATGGAAATGGCTGCTTAGGATACAATGTTGAATACCATAACAAGTTCTCGGTGGGTGGCTAGCACCATCACAGGCACGGATGCCACTGTCCCTTTTCAGGGAAGCTTTTTAAGTACACTGGAAGCAGACTCCTCATCTGGAGAAGGTTGGGATCTCCTAAGACCAGGTAGCTCCTAATATGGATGGCTTCCTTTAGGATCCAATAGCATAAGATATTGTATATTTGTTTGAGAACTCCCCTAGGATTTCAATTTTTCCTTCCTTTTTTCCTTCCTTCCTTCTTTTTCCCTCCTTCCCTCCCTACCTCCCTTTCTCCCTCTCTCTTTCCCTTCTTTTTCTGGAGCATATGTGATATATATTGTGATGTGGTGTATTTACTTGATAATATATGTGTGTGTACATGTATGTGGCTGTGTGTTCAGGTCATTCATCAATGTTGTGTGTCTTCTTAATTGCTGTGCACCTCTTATTTTTCAAGATAGGGTCTCTCACTGAATCTGAAGCTCACCAATTTGGCTGGGCTAGCTGGCCACTGAACTTCAGGGATCCAGCCTTCTCTGTCCTAGCTCCCCATGCTGTTGTTATAGGCATGTGACCCAATGCCTAGCTTTTTATGTGGGTTCTTGGGTCTTCATGCTTGCTCGCATGACAGACATTTTACCAATTCAGCCCTCTTCCCAACCTGTATTCATATTCTCCTCTCTCTCTCTCTCTCCCTCCCTCCCCCCTCTCTCTATATATGTATAGATATATAGATAGATATAGATATAAATGGATAGCTAGATATAGAGATATAGATAGAGATATAGATTTCCCATATATAGAAACCCGTAATGAGTATAGTCCTTCATATACATGTGAGACAAACCAACACGTCACTCTGTGTGGTACCTTATAGTGTTTTCTGTTCAGAACACTGCCGACTACTCATTAACCTCATTTCATAACCTACTAATGAATCTCACCCTGTAGCAGACCCTGTTGCTTTAGCTTAATTGCATCAAGCCATAGAGTAAGGTGTGATTCAGATCCACCCCACAGACAATCTAGAGAGGGGCTAAAGAATCCTTACTTATCTAAGATCCCGCCAAGAGCTCCTGGACTGCAGATCCTCAGCCCGCGTGGAAACATGCTGGTCATTTGTCATGGAGCAGTTGTACCGGGAAGGTGCTTATCAGTGGGGCTCATGTGCCAACTCTCCTTCAAAGGATTGACAGTCCTGTAGCTGCTGAATGACCTGATGAATCCTCTCCTCCGCCTCGCCAGTCCCCTGGAAGGGATATCTATAAAGCCGGGGAAGCTGAGTAAGAGGCCAGGTGTGACATGGCTTGGTTGAGGGAGCTGGTACGTTTGGAGCAAATCAGGTGCTGAGAGCAATGGACAGGATGAGAAGAGAATGGCATGCCACCGCTGCAGCCTGGCTGCCCTGACTGGTGATTTGTCTCTGAAATCCGAAGCTCTAGGTTACAGAACCCTGCTAAGCTTTATGCCGAGGACATTTTAATGGAAACCAAGGCTCCTAAGTAACTTGCCCAGGCCTCACTCATCAAGTTAGGTCCTGTATTTGAACTTGAACTTTTAAAATTACATAGTCTACATGTTCAGCCAGTCCGCTGTAGTAGATCGGGAGTTCTTTGTGGACACCAGGCTTGACATGCTCTCTGCGAAAGGCCACTGATGCTGTAAAGGACTTGACCTCACCTATGGTATCACCTGTTTCCTTCCTGCCACCCCTGGCTTTGCCCTCTGCTGTCCCTCCCAGTTGTCCCTTATGAGATCACCCTCTACACCAGTGATGTCTTTGCTGCCGGAACCGATTCCAACATCTTTATAGTCATCTACGGCTGTGACGCCGTGTGCACCCGGCAGAAGTTCCTGTGCACCAACAAGAGGGAGCAGAAGCTGTTCTTTGAGAGGAAGTCTGCCTCCCGCTTCATCGTGGAGGTACCTGGTTCTATGCACTGCCCCAGAGGGGCTGGGTCAAGAGTAGCCCTTCATCTAGATGGGCCATAGCTAATGGGGGATGAAGCTTGTCCAGCTTCTCTGAGCCTCCATATGTCCAGTCAGACAAGTGGATGATAAAGCTAGCTGGGCCTTCTAGGACAAATGTCAGGATTAAAAGTGATGACCAGGACCTGGGGAAACAGGAGGCGTACCAACAGGACATCTTCCTGTTTCTATCATGTCTGTGGCATGGCTTCCAGGCAGGCAACTGGGGTGCTGGGTGGCACAAACCTCTCACAGGGGACCACATGAGGCCGTCTGCTGCTTGGCTTTCGGGCCGCAGTCAGCTGGACACAGAACTGCTGTGGGCTTCACAGGTCCTGCCAGGTCTGGCCAAGGGGTTCTGTCATCTGATGCTTACCAGGGATGTGGGTTTCAGCACCGAGGAATTCCCACATGCCTTTATGCAGAGCAGCTCATGATGCCTGCCCTGTCCTCTTTTGTGAGCTAGCTTAGGCAGGAGACACAACAGCAGAGAGCCCACACTGCCTGCAAGGAGCTTTAATATAGTTGGTGAGCCAAGTACTATGCTCTCGGCAGAAAATCTAGGGATTATTGCCACCACGGGTCCTGAGGGTCAGAGGTACTAACATGGGATTCAGCTCTGTTCAGTCACTGGACCCCTGTAACAGTCCTGTACTCTTCTGACCCTGGTAAAGAAGGAGGTGATTGAGGCACAGCAAAGTGAATGGCTTTCCCCAAACTACACAGCTAGCATGCAGGAAACCAACCTAAGGGAACAGGCTCCGATGTGCATGCTCTTTTACTCTGTGGTAGGCTTCGAAAAGGATTGAGGTTGCTGTTGGTGTTCAGAAAGAAGAGCCCTGGAGGAGGTAGATTAGAGGCGGGTGTGGAAGTGGGCATTCTCAGGAGAAGGAGGAGAGGCATTCCTGGGAGGTGAACAGCATACCCCTGGGTGGAGAGCTTGAAGTCACAGGGGAGCATGAAGGGACTTAAGAAGGGAGTAGCAATGAAACCAGCCTGGGAGAGGAGCCAGGAACCTTGAAAGCCTTGGCGCTCTGAGTAACAGGGACCAGTGGTAACATGTCCATATAGTCTGGTGGGAAACAAAGTGTTGAGCTTGTCCTTATCCTCAGCCAGCTGCTGCCCCAGAGATAAAGCTTCCTCCACACCCTCTCTGGGAGGAGTCAGCTTTGGTGGGAGGTCTGTTGTAGAAAATTCAGACTTTATAAGGTAAAGTCTCGCCAGGAAAGATGATGTGGCGGGCGCATCAGAGTGTGACGTCATCAGTGCCCAGGTCCTCAGCAGGACTCCTGCGGACTTTCATTAGTAAGGCAGCTATAAATTGCCAGCTCATTTGCTGTTGGTTTTTCTTTCTCAACTGCTTAGGTCTTAGGGGGATGTAGAGCTTGGAAACAAATGGAAAGGCTTTATTCCTCGCCTGTCTTTCCTGCCTGCGGCTTCGGCCTCTCTCCTCTCTTATGGTGGATCCTCACTCCACATCCCCCCTTCCAGCCCTGACTCTGGAGTAGCCCTTAGCCAATGGCTGCTTCTCTCTGTGGTCCACCCTGAGGGTTGGCCAGGAGAAGAGCACTTGATAGGACACCTGAGCTCCGTGGAAATGTCAGTGCCATTCTAAGCTCTCAATATGGACCAAGTTTTTGAGTGTTCATGAGAGTCCCAAGAGGGTGGCAGTGCAGCAATCCTATCCCACACATGAGCACCCAGAGCAAGAAAGGTTGTGACCTACTAAAATAGCATTACATGGTGAATTTAGGGTCACAGCAGCTCCTGAGCCTTCTTGGATCATGCCTTCACCCCTTCCAAGGAAGAATGCCAAAGCCCTTTCTGATAGCCATGTCTTCTGAGCCCATCCAGGAGGCCACCGCCCCTGGGCAGCAGTCCTCTGAAGGCCTCTTTACTGTCTGTGGTGCCACAGCCAAGACAGTCCCCTGATGAAAGCAACTCAGTGCTTGCTGCAGAACTCAGGTTTCAGAAGTGCCATTGAAGCCACTAACCTCAAAGCCTATGGGACAGGGAAGAAAAAAGAAGCCCTGGGTAGAAGAAGATACACGGAACTCTTCATTTCCTAGTCAGTTCAGGCAGCGAGTTTGTCGGTTGAGATGCTGGGGACCACACCCTTCCCTTGGACGTCTGCACTTCTCTGGTAGATAATGATAAGGTCTATTAAAAATCTCTGCGGCCACATCACTTGAAAGCCCCGATCTTTGTTTAGTGACTCTGAGTCCTCTGGGTTTGCAAGGCCTCGAAGGACCATTTGTGGCCATGGATTTTGTTCTCTGATTCAGAGCAGGCGGCAGGTAGTGGGACATCTTGGAAGGGCAGCAAGGCCATGACAGCTGTGGCATCCTTGTCAGGCCATGGAGTAGCATGTTGCTTGGCCGGGCACTTAGAGCTAGAGATCAGGTGACAAAAAATGCATGCTGGAGTCTTTGACCTGCTTATGACATCAATGGGCTGCCCCAGCCATGACCCTGACTTTGACTGACGAAGACACCATTTTCTGTAAGTTTGAATGAGCACAGTTTGTCGGAGTAGAGAAAAGGAATTACTGAAAGGGAGGGGCTCTTAAGAGATGGTAGATTTGAACATGATCTATCAAGATAGGAGCATGGGCTGTACCAGATCTCTTCTGAGACCCAACTCACTTCTCAGAGAATGTGCTACTATAACATCACGTCATGGAGGATGGGGAAGGTAACGGCTTCTGTGAGGAGTCAGACACGCCTGAAAGATCAGAGTGCCAAATCAGGGTCCATTACGTCAAGACTGAAGGAAGGAAGAATGGCATGTGCAGAGGAGGGTCTTGGCCTGGCTGCTCAGTAGACATATGGAGAGCAAATCACCCACTTAAGTTCAGAGGGATCTGAAGATGGATGCCCCCAAGGAGGCACAATATGATTGAAGCCCTTCTATTAACACGTAGTGCCTTTTTTTTTCTTTATGAAGTTAGAAGATGTGGGTGAAATCATTGAAAAAATCCGGATTGGCCATGATAACACAGGCATAAACCCTGGGTGGCACTGTTCCCATGTCGACATCCGCAGGCTCCTTCCTGATAAAGACGTAAGTTTGAGATGTGTCTGTCCTACTTCATTTGCCTTTCCCAGAATGAGCTCACATCACAGCAGATTGGCCTGATGGTTGCTTCAGCCTCCAGGACATGTTAACTAGCTCAGATCCAAAGCAGATGCTTCTGGTGGTCAAAGAAAAGAGTTTAGGCAATCTAGTCTGGTCTGTGTCTCTGCCCGAGTCCCAAAGCCACAGGACCGGTGAGTGACCAGCAATGTCCTTACTTCTATTCAGGGTCAACTCCAGAGGAAAATCAAACCTGAATAAATTGGAAAACACTAGAAAAAAAATGCAAACTTCCACAGCTAAAAGACAGTGCAGTTCTGGGGACAAGATGGATTTAAAAGCACAGAGCCCTCGCCACCCACGAACCCCAAGTGTTAGGGACAGGGCTCAGATATTTATTTTTAAGTGATCTAAGAAGTATAACCTTCAAAAGCTAACTCACCCTGCTGCGGCTGTGCAAGTCTGGAAGGCTATGTCTCTGAATCGGGGCAGGAAGGGTCCCTGTGTTTTCATACAGGGAGGCAACGTCTTCTTCGTCTCTGGTTCTGATGAGCCTGAACATGCTGGCAAATCCCTGGAGCTGGTGGCTCCCACCTTACAGACTACGGGCTCATCTTCCTCCTTTCTCCTCACCCCAGGGTACTGAGACCTTGACTTTCCCATGTGACCGATGGCTTGCCACCTCTGAGGACGACAAGAAGACCATCCGAGAACTGGTCCCTTACGATATCTTCACTGAGAAGTACATGAAAGATGGGTCCTTACGACAAGTCTACAAGGAAGTGGAGGAGCCTCTGGACAGTAAGTGCACACAGGATAGGTGGCACATCCCTTCTCACAGAGCACCAGCCCCTGCCAGGTTGAGCATCCTCACGCACGAGGATGGTCTATGTTATCCCTGGGAAACTGAGGCTCATAGAGGCTATGTAACTTGCCAAGTTCACACAGCTGGTAGATGGCAGGCTAGTCCCCAGAGTCTTGCCTACTTCACTGCAAGCTTTGTGCTCAGATCCCTTCCTACTTCTACAGCATGGTACATGCCAACACATCACCCCTGCTCCTGGCTTTCTGTATGCTCAGTTTATGTGGCCAACAGTTGGTGTAGTGTGATCCCATTTACTCTTACAGGACAGTCTAGGGCTGGAGTGTGGCTCAGTGGGAGAGTATTTGTCTAATGTAGGAACCTCTGTTTTGAAGCCCTGTACTGTAAAAGATTTATTTTTAAGACAGAAAAACAAGGTAGAAATATCCCGGCAAGGCATGTTTCTGGGGGTTAGGTCGGCTTCTGGATCTGTCTAAGGTCATGGGATTTTGTTTCCTGGGTTAACTCGTCACGATCATCCACGGCTGTTATTTCTAGGCAGTATTTGAATCATCCTGACCACCCACTTCTTGCGTTTCTTCCTGCCTTTGGTCTCAGTGACATCACCATATTCCGGTTATCTTCCTGTCTCCCGAAATAGTCTGCGTAGTTCTAGGTCCTTTCTTGTGCCCACTGGCATTCAAGGTTCACTCCTCAGCCTTCTCTCCTCACTGCACTGTTGCACAGGCATGTGCATGCACACACGTGTCCTTTACCCCACGGCAGCACTGTGCATGTCACTCCCTATGCTGCTCAGCTCTGAGTAAACCTTAACTAGTCGATAATCAGCGTCATTTGTAAAAGTCTCTACCACTGATGACACACACATGGCTCCCACCGTCCTTTCCAACTGGGCGGTCTACACAGACTAGAGAAGCTCTGGGAACTTGGAAAAACAATCCAAATTTATGGTATTATAGCTTTGGAAAAACTGGAGTAAAACCCAGGATTCCAGGGAAACCTATGATTCTCATAGGAAGCTGGTGGAGGCAGGGCACAGATCTTCCTGCTGCTGAGAGTCCAAAGACAAGAGGCAAATATATTTCTGTTTTGTATAAAACAGCGAGAGCCCCTGCTTTCCTTTAATCTGAGCCATCTTGCCCAAGGGTAGATCTCTCCATCCACACCCCTTTCTCTGAATATCCTTGGCTGTTCGGTTTGGGAGATGTGTCTCTTTTCTGCTTGGACCCCCAGATGGACACCCTGGGCTGCCATTCCCAGCAACACTCTTGAGATGTTCTCTATAAACCTACTCCACAGAACCCACTCTGAGGTTTCTAAGGAAACACCTCTTCCCTGACAAGCTGTGTGGCCTGGGTGGGACGAGAGGGAGGAGGATCCAGAAATAGCTGGATCCCGCATACCCATATTGCTCAGCATTGGAGGCTGAATTGGTTTCCTTAATTCCCAAAGGACCAGAGGAAGCAGCAGGAGGTGGATTGGGGTTGTTAGAAGACCATCCAGTCACAGCCCCAAGGACACAGCATCCCAGTTCAGGACAAGGGCTCCTAGAAAAGGCGTCCTAACAGGTCCACCCACCCGTGATAATTTCAGATGTGGAGCAGGCTTGAATGTAGTCAGAATGAAGGGGGGTGGCGGGGAGAGGACAGTCATCAACTGTTGCATCTAAGCTGTGACAAGATTCCTAATGTTGTCTCAAGTTGGTGTTGGCCCGACAGACTTGGGTAATGCTGTCTCTTTTAAGCAACACAGAGACGATTTCATCATCAGCTGTGGAGGCCCACGGCATGCTTGCTGGTTCTGCACCAAACTGAGCAGGGTGGAGCCTGAGCGAATGGTCCCGGACTTTTGTCTGTATCAAGGGTCACAGCTCTGTCCATCAAGTCTCATAAAGAAACAAGGGACTTTAGAGAATGAGAGGCTATGAAGAGGCGGGGGATGTCAGGGAGAGTTTGAAGAAGGAGATGGATACCAGAGGGATCAAGTACCACTCAGACCCATGAGTTTGTGATGCCAGGGTCTAGTCTCAGTGGAAGTAGACCCTGGTGACAGGAGTTGGAAATTTGAAGCACAGGGACCTGGGTTCAAGATAAAGATCCAGGAGGTCAAGGAATACAAACATAGGCTGTGCAAAATGAGAGAAGAGGGTTGAAGGTGGAACTAAAGAATTTAGTGACTACGGGCTGAGTGGAAGATGAGGGACCCAAGAAATCCAGAAGGCAGCATTGATGCTGTGGAATCCAGAGGAGAAGAAGGGCACACAGGGAACCATGGGGGAATGTGAACATGTCTGTAACTGTGGCTGCAAGCTGCCCACAGCACACTGATTTGCCTCATTGAGTTAGAGGTGGCTGTGGGCCCACTTGCAGGGGTTGAAAGAAAGCCCACCTCAGTCACTGTAGGAAAGACAACCATTCTCTAAGGTCTTGTAAGTCCCTCAGACCAGGGTAGGTCTCGCACTGCCCTGGTTCTCCTGCCACGTACTGCCATTGAGCTCTAGGTCTGTGTCAACACTCGGCGTCATTTCTCTGGGTGACCAAAAACAGGGCTTCAGGAACCTTCCATCCTCCCAGTTTCCAGCCACTGCTTTAAAAGCTTCCTCCCCATGCTGTTCTCTTAGGGACAGTCTAGCCAAGTCCTGTGATCCTTGGCCTGAAATTCCAAATTCCCCAGGCAGAAGGCTACAGAGGGGAGAACAAGGCTTTCCGAGCATCTGTAGGAAAATATACAGGACTTGCTTGCCCCCAGGTCTAGAGGCAAGGGATACAGAGGTCTCATTGTAATAGACACCTACTAGCTACCCTTGCTGAGCCACGCAGCAGAGCAAAACCAAGGCACCATACTCATTTCCATTCTCCTCAGGATCTGTGTGTACTTGTCATCCTGATCCTGAGCCCTCCCCCAGGCGCCATAGGGATGAAGGACAAGGCACCAGTCACCGTGGCTTTGGAGGAAACAGTTTGCCTGGGGTACTAGGGCAAGGTGAAGAGTACTACCAATGAGCTGAAGAATAAGTCAAAATAAGTAAGGAGGCACACACACACACATTCCAGTGTATCAACACTAACTAGTTAGATAAGAAGAAGTATCACAGCATAAAGACTCAGTGGTCATAGTGACAGCATACTTAAGACAGTCTTCTTGGATGCTGTGGGTGAAGGGACTGGGGGCCACTCCAAAAACTCTTATCTTTTGGTTCTCCGAGAGCCTCCTGAATGCAAAGACCCCATACACTGTGCTGCTGACACTGCCTAGCCAAGCAGCGAAAGGAAGATGTTGCTGTTTTAAACCAGACCTTTGTCTACTGGCAAACTCTGCTGGCTAGAGCTAACCTGCTGTCACCCTTCTCGTCCCTCTGTCTGTCTGCCTGCCCAACTTGATGGGCAGTTGTGTTGTACTCGGTACAGATCTTCACAGGGAACGTTCCTGGGGCAGGGACCGATGCCAGGGTCTACATCACCATCTACGGAGATCTCGGGGACACCGGAGAACGGTACCTTGGCAAATCAGAAAACCGCACCAACAAGTTCGAGAGAGGAACGGTAGGAGAGACGCACTGGACTCATGCCACCCGTCTCCTCTCTAGGTCTAGCCATCCGAATGCCAGGTCTTCTGGTCCTGAGAATGTCCTGGCACTCTGTGGGGTACCATGCGCCCTCCTTTGGGCTTTTGACATTGCTTTTCCTCTGTAAGAACAGAGTGTCCCCCTTCCACAGCCAGTGCACTTCTCTGGGTCCTACATGGGGTGGGGTGGAGTGGAAGGCGGGCCTGATCTCTAGATTGCCCTCTCTGTGGGGACAGCCTCTTCAGAAAGTCAGCTCACTGTGGGCAGTTCATCATGCATGTGGAAGTGGGGGCTGCAGGGTGGCAGGGGCTGGCCTGAAACCTGATGAGGGGCCTGGAAACCTGGCTCTGCCTTCTGCTCCCTGTCTGTTTTACCTCTGCTGAACTTAGTTTCCCTGTCTCAATGATGAGGAATCAAATATAAATTGGCTAAAGTGTGTTGTACAGGGCTGAGGCCCTTGGGAATAACGCAAAGAACACTGGTGAGCAGAAGGGCTCCTCCCTGTCACCTATAGACTCACCTTGACCTGGCCTGTCTAGCTAGGGCCAAGCATACTAAGATTCTGGGACTATAAAAAGGCAGGAGAGTCTTGTGGCCGATCAGTATCTGTGGCACTTCTAGCTCTGATGCACTGTGATGGACCAGAAGGACAAAATCCATCCAATTGTCCCTTCTATGCCCATCAGCTTCCCTCTCCTGTCCCTTCTGCATGCCCTGCCACACCCTTCACTGGGCCCCCAGTTCCTCTCTGTCATCTCCATGTGCCTTAGTCTACCCCAAACCCCACAGGCCAGGGGATCTCTGAGGAGAACAGTCTTGCCCATGGCCATGCCTGGCAGGCAGCCCCTGCATGGCTGAGAGCCTGACTCTCAGCCAGCCAGACCCCTTTGTACTGAAACACCTGCTACTGCTGAGGAGGGAATTAGTCCTGGGACAAGTAGCAGGTATCCTGTAAATGGATCTGTAATGCCTGGTGACCCCATGTGCCAGGCTTATAGAAGAAGCTCGGGTCTGGCTGCTGGGTCCTCAGAGGGCATGTCCCCGCCCTCTTGTTAGTCACCTGGATAGCCTTTAACTTCAATTTCTTGCTTCTGGCTTGTGAATAATAACATGATTCTCAATTAGACACCTATACTGAGAAAGAGGAAATGTACGTCATCTTCTACCGGGGAAGATAAACACATACACACACAAACAGAGAGAGAGAGAGAAAGAGAGAGAGAGAGAGAGAGAGAGAGAGAGAGAGAGAGAGAACAACACGAGAGACATAACAGTACTTAGGAGAGGGCCTATCTTGCTCATTCCATTTTAGAAAAATAGAAAGCCAAAGAGGTCAAAGTGAATTCCTGTGGTGTTCCTGGCTCTATACCAGGGACACATTTCACATTTGATCCAGTACCCAGACAATGGGCTCAGATCACCTGAACTTGGACATTGATTCTAACACTAATTGGTTATGTAATCTTGGACAAGTTACTTAGCATCTCTTTGTCTCATAAAATAGTTTCGAGTGACTGTGAAAGCCAGCTGAATTAAACCATGAGATACCCAACTGTGCCCAGTGTTGGGCCACGGTGCCACGGTGTTGGGCCTTGTTAAGGCTTAGGGGAGCTCCCTGCCCCCACTTGCCGTGGATGCCTGCTGTTAATGTCTGGTAAATGCATGGGTATAATAGCAGTGTGTCTCATGTGGCTGATAGATAGACTTTTGTTCATGCCAGAGCCTAGGAAAGAATAGGTGCTCGACAAATACATACAGAGAATAAATGGATGAAAATATAAATGAAAAGTGATGTAATCTATTCTCTAAGTTCAGATTCAGCTCCCCACCCCACCCCACCCCCACCCCGCTATAAACGGTCTGCCCCATCACATTCGCTGTCTTTTCTGGCTTTGCTGTTTGGAGTTTTGGACTTTTGTTTCGCTGGGGTCCTTTTGAGACAGGGTCTCACTCTATCGCCCAGTTTGACTCAGAACTCACTGTTTGACCCAAGCCGACCTGGTCATCGTGAGAGTCCTCTTGCCTCCACTTCCCTAATGCTGGAACTCCAGACATGGGCCACCATGCCCAGTTCTGGTCTTGTCACCCCACAGGAAGAGCTGAAGCTGCATCTGGCCCGGTTCCTAGCCACGCAATCCTCAGTTCATTGCTGAGCATTTGAAAGTTTCCATTTCTTTAGCCACTCATTCTTGGAGCCAGGAGTCATTCTTGATGCCATCTTCTTCTCAGCACCCTCCCCCTGCCCACATTCAACCCGTTGCCTGATCTGAGATTCTCCCCATAAGCACCCCCAGATCAGCTAAGGCAGCTCCATAGCCAGCAGCCCTTCCTCATCTGTCTCTGCCTTGAATCAAACCTGGTCTCCCCAGCAGTTGCCACCAGCTTGCCAGTCAGCCATCCAATGGCAGAGCACTCACCACCTGCTAGTGGAGCACTCACCACCTGCTAGCAGAGCACTCACCACATGCTAGCGGAGCACTCACTACCTGCTAGCGGAGCACTCACTACCTGCTAGATGAGCACTCACCACCTGCTAGTGAAATACTCACCACCTGCTAATGAAATACTCACCACCTGCTAATGAAATACTCACCACCTGCTAGTGGAGCACTCACCACCTGCTAGTGAAATACTCACCACCTGCTAATGAAATACTCACCACCTGCTAATGAAATACTCACCACCTGCTAGTGGAGCACTCACCACCTGCTAGTGGAGCACTCACCACCTGCTCGTGGAGCACTCACTACCTGCTAGTGGAGCACTCACCACCTGCTAGTGAAATACTCACCACCTGCTCGTGGAGCACTCACTACCTGCTAGATGAGCACTCACCACCTGCTAGTGGAGCACTCACTACCTGCTAGATGAGCGCTCACCACCTGCTAGTGAAATACTCACCACCTGCTCGTGGAGCACTCACTACCTGCTAGATGAGCACTCACCACCTGCTAGTGGAGCACTCACTACCTGCTAGTGAAATACTCACCACCTGCTAGTGGAGCACTCACTACCTGCTAATGGAGCACTCACCACCTGCTAGTGAAATACTCACCACCTGCTCGTGGAGCACTCACTACCTGCTAGTGGAGCACTCACTACCTGCTAGCAGAGCTCTTACCACCTATTAGTAGAGCAATCACTACCCATGATCCCCCAGGGACACACAGACCATGGATATCACCAAATCTGCCAGGTTATCTGCAACTTTCAGGACCTGCCCTGCACAGTCTGCCTGGCAAGTCCCCAGCAGGCCACTTGAGCCCATTCTGAAGGGCAGCTACACTTTCTCCTCTGTGCCTTTCCATGTGTTTTTTCTGTATTCGGGCCCATGTGTCACAAAAGCCCCATGTGGTGCTGCTGTGAGTGTAGCTTCTCCTTTGCCTACAAGGCATAGTACTGGCTAAATGCTTCTCATCTTGCTCTTGGCATTTCAGTGGGATGCAGTGGAAATCTTTCTACGCCAGGGTATTCAACCGGAGATGGAGCTGGCTCTTCTTTGTAACCACACACATATCCACTCCATGGAGAATGTTGTCCCACAGTTGCTCCGCTGTGTTCCCAAAGGGGTGAGGCCCCAGATGGCTTCTGATTTCCCACTGTAAGCATTGTCCTGCTGCAAACACGCTTGTGTACATGTCAAGATCTTCCTTCCACACAGAGGCGGCTGAGTGGAGGGTGTGCTCAGTTTGACTCCGGTGAGCTCAATGGTTGTAGTTTCTGGCCTGCAGACATGGGCCAACATCCCTCATCTGCATTGGCCAGAGCTTTCAAACATTTACACAGTTTGTGAGACACTTTCTTCCAAACACCGACAGGCTCATCCCAAGAAAGATCTGGGCAAAGGCAGTTTTCCCCAAGGAGGGGCATACGGGAGTGGACTATATAACGGGGTCAGTGAGGAAGTGAACCTTGAACTTGGACTTTAATTTGGTTGTAGAGGGGATCCCCATCTGGGAATGTCTCCTCAACCCGGTAATTTTGGAGGATGGGGTTCGAGGGGTTAAAGTGAGGTGTCCCCACCAAGTCCTCATGTTTGGACTTTCCAGGCCGACACCTTCATCATCGAGGCTGCTGATCTGGGTGTCATCTACAAGATCAAGCTCCGCCACGACAACACCAAATGGTGTGCCGACTGGTACGTGGAGAAGGTGGAGATCTGGAACGACACCAACGAGGATGAGTTTCTATTCCTGTGTGGACGCTGGCTCTCCCTGAAGAAAGAGGATGGGCGGCTAGAGAGGCTCTTTTATGAGAAGGTACCCCAAGGGGTCTTGGGACCCCCATGCAACCACAGCCTCTCATCGTTTTTCTGCCCAGGGAAGATCTTTGGTGCAGAAGGTGCCAGTGCTGCAGTGAGACCAGGCTGTGCTTTTCCTTGCAGGAGTACACTGGCGACCGCAGCAGCAACTGCAGCAGCCCTGCTGATTTCTGGGAGATCGCCCTGAGTTCCAAGATGGCAGATGTGGACATTGCCACGGTGACAGGACCCATGGCTGACTATGTTCAGGATGGCCCTGGTAAGCAGAGCAGGGAGCTCTTCGGAAGATAAGCAGGCACAGGGAAACAGCTTCAAACCGTTCTCAGACAGGCTGTCGCTGAGGCCCCGATGTCACTGATGGAGTGGGTCTTGAGCTTTGCGCTTCACCGTGTTCGCATGCACAGCAGCCCTGTGCGGTGAGCAGGCAGAGAGAAGCCCTCCAAATGGAGCAATGGGTAGAGTTTTGATGATGGTCTCCTTCATCCACCAGAAGGGTATTGTCCTAAACTCTGCCCTCACCCAGACTCTCAGAACATGATTTCTGGACAGGTGGCCTGGGACAAACCAACAGAAAGTAGGACCACAAGCCGGGCGGTGGTGGCGCACGCCTTTAATCCCAGGCAGAGGCAGGCAGATCTCTGTGAGTTCGAGGCCAGCCTGGTCTAGAAGAGCTAGTTTCAGGACAGGAACCAAAAAAGCTATGGAGAAATCCTGTCTCAAAAAATCCAAAAAAAAGAAAGAAAGAAAGAAAGAAAGAAAGAAAGAAAGAAAGAAAGACCACAGTGGAAATCTGCCACCCAAACTGTGATGCCGTATGTACCCGTGTCCAGGAAAGAGGCTCCGAGCTGTTCATTCGGCTCATGGCCTATGTTTGCTTTCTCTATGAAGCAGTATCCGAACTCTTTGAGAAACTCCTTTCACCAATCATATTTTTGAGATAAGGCTGTGCTGTGTTTGTTTCTCAAACATTAAAAAACCTGCCTTCTTAATTTAAGTGTGTGACCAACATGATGCCTGCCTCCAGGAAAGCATGGTGTAGGTCTGGGAGGCCAGCAGAAATGGACACTCTTATCTACACCCCACCTTCCCACTGTGTGAAAAACGACAGTCTCCACAAGGCAGCCATCCTGTGATCCCCTGTGGGGACACCAGGGGAGCTAACAAGGCCTGTATTGGTACAGAGGACCCACTAGTGACTCCAGCCAGGAGAGGCTAGTCCAGACAGCTTTCAGAGAGACACACAACCTAAGCCTACTGCGGCAGGGCCGTGTCCCCTGTCAGCTGGGATGACAGGCCAGGAGAAGGGTTCTTGGCTTGTTGATTCCTGACTGCAAATGACAGGGACCTGGAGACAGTGACCTAAACAACTTCAGCACTTTCCTAGTGTGTAAAAGTTCAAAGCCAAAACCATCTAAAGCTAATTCAACAGCTCTGGGATGCCCAGGGAGCTAGCTTCCTACAGCCCTCGCTCTGAAACCTCCTAAAAGGCTCCTACCCTAAAGGCCACCCAGGTAACCTTCCACAACAAGAGCCGAGGTGCCAGCCATCATATCCACATCCTAAGCAGAATGGATAGAAGGGTATTCCTTCCAGGAGAGCCAGGCCTTTAAAACAGTTACCCCAGAATCCCATGTAGCAATCACTGACTTACCTATTAGAACCATCCCGAGTGAAAGGAAAATGGATTTTGATTGCCTAGAATCTACATGATCTAAATGAGTTTGCCGACAACACTAACATGGTTTGGTTTGGAAACAGATGTCTCTAGGACTTCCCTCAACTGTGTTACAGGTATAATACACTTGTGCTTGTGTTCCCCAATTTACACTCTCTGTGAGACCTTCCTCCTCAACAGTGGTTGATGTTTTGGGCATATAACCCCCAGACCTGGTGGGAAGTTGCCCTATACTTCCTTGCCTGGTAGGGAGAGATTCAAGTAAGATAACTGGCCAATAAGGCGTTCAGAAGCTTGACACTCCAGCGGACACAAGGACAATCTCTTGGGTCTTCCCATCGGGCGTTACTGACTGTCTGATGCCCGCAGACACACACCACCATGAACTTGCAGCCTATCTGGAAGACTTTGTGGCAGTTGGTCTCTGAGCAAGGAAGGAAGGAGATGGCCTTCCCAAGGTCGTTTCAAGTTCCTAAGCCCATAGGCTAGCATGTCTGTCCACAGGGCCAGTTGTGAAGTTAGCTCCACCATCTCTTGCAGTGATTCCCTACTATGTGTCAGTGACCACTGGGAAGCATAAGGATGCAGCCACTGACAGCCGAGCGTTCATCTTGCTCATTGGGGAAGATGATGAACGCAGCAACCGCATCTGGCTGGATTATCCCCAGGGGAAGCGAGGCTTCAGCTGTGGCTCCGTGGAAGAGTTCTATGTCGGCGGCTTGGATGTGGGCACCATCAAGAAAATAGAGGTTCTGACCCTGGGTCCCCACGATGGTGACTGCCCCTGGGGAGTGAAAGAAACTGGTTAGCGTGTGGGGGTGGGGAGCTGAGAGCAGACAGAACAGAAAGGCGACCTGGAGCCCCTCTGAGTTAGAGGCAGATCTCCAGCTTCCAACATCAGTTGGGGGGCTGGTGACTTCAAGTTCCCCATTTTCTGCCCCTTCAGTAAAGATATCCTGTGTTCTCATTTTCTCTTTGCTATCACCAACTTGTTGGTAACTGAAAACACTCAGGTACACGCACTGTCCTGGATCCGGAGTCTAGCAGGGACTTCTTGAGGCCTCCTGAGATGAAAGCAAAGTGTAACCAGGCCTATGATATTTTCTTGAGCTTTCTTCCTTTTTCCAAGCCAACTAGCTATTGGCCAGATCCATTCTCTTGCTGTTGTAGGAGTGAGGCCTTCCATTCCTGTCAGCCCCTGCCTTGAGGTGCTGACCCAAACCAGTCAGTGTTCTTGAGCTAGGCCAGTAGGAGACAAGTTCCCTCGCTCCAAACATCTCCAAATTCTTCCATCTATAGGTAGCATCCACATTTTCTCTTAAAAACCTCACCTTATGAGGTCAGGCCCACCCGGGGTCATGTTTTGATTAGCCCATAGACCTGTTCAGTTTCCTCTCCTCCAAGGAAGGTTCTCTGGCCATGAGTGTCCAGCATATCAGGAGGAAACACTGAGGGTGAGCGCACAAGGTGGGCAGAGGACACGGAGCAGGGAAGACTTCTTTCTCAGCTCTGCCAAGATCCTCACAGGGACGGTGTACCTCACAGCTGGGCCATGACGGAGCCTCCCCTGAGAGCTGCTGGCTGGTAGAGGAGCTGTGCTTGGCGGTACCCACCCAGGGTACCAAATACATACTACGCTGCAACTGTTGGCTTGCCAAGGACCGAGGCGATGGTGTCACCTCCCGTGTCTTTGACCTCCTGGATGCCATGGTGGTGAACATTGGAGTGAAGGTATGTGTGTGTGTGTGTGTGTGTGTGTGTGTGTGTGTGCCCGGCGAGCGGGAGACACAGGAGAGATGAAAATGAGGGGTGTAGGGGAGTCGTCTCTGGGGTACTGACAGAAGCTGCAGCCTGGAAAGACAGTTGGACTCACTTATCTCAAGCCAGGAGATTGCTCTCCTTTGCTCTGCTGCTATGTGACATCAGGGAAGTGGCCTGGTTTCTCTGGGCCTTGCTCTTCTCCTCTGCCACATGAAAATAACATTTTCTTTCACTGCCCGCCCCATGCTCGGTCCTGGCCAAAACCAATGAGATCACTGACAGTCCCTGAGGAGCTTTGGATAGTACCAGCTCTGCCCAGATGTGCCTTGTCATTGGTGGCCGCACCCACAGCATAGCAGCAAGGGCAAAGGACACCAGAGACTGGGGGCCTCCAGATCTCACGGTATAGCAATGCTGGTCACGTGAGACCCCTTGTAGCTTGAACAGCCAAGAAGACAGGAGTTTTACTTTCTGTCTAATGGGTGGGTTGGGACAACGTTGCATAACCTGGCAGGTGGTCAGGGTCTGGCAGGAGGGAGGCAGATAACCCAAAGACACACATCTAGTTGGTGATCCAGAGGACCCTGTGTTTCTCTTTCTTCCACATGAGCCGCGGAGCTACCAGTTGCCCAGCTCTATTCAGTCAGGTTACCTGTCAAGGTTGTGGTCAAGAGGCCTGCCTGTCCTGTGATGGGAACAGCAAGAGGGGCTGTACTCTGCACCCCAACATCCTCCACAGGAAATCCCTAGCAGGGGAGCAGGGGAGCAGGGGAGCAGGGGAGCAGGGGAGGGGCACCTTCTACAGCACAGACATCTCCCTCTGTGGCCAGATGGATGGTGTGAGTGAGCCTGCTGCTCATCCCGGGCTTCTACCCTGACCCACTTCCCAGCCTCTGTGTGCTTCTGAGGCATGCTCCGTCTCACACCACGCCCTGTGCAGTCACAGCTCCTCCCAGTTCAGTCTGGGACATTGCAGATCTGCATCCTGCTATTCACAGCGCAAAGAAGGCGGGCTAACCACTTACCCAAACAGCGGGGCTCTCTGGACCGGCCTCTTTCCAGGACACCAACCAGAGTGACAGGAGCCCTGCTTCCGTCTCTCCTTTGGAAATACTCCAATCACACAAAGAGCCGCATGTCTGTGCGTGGAGGGAATGAGGAACACAAGGAACACAGGGGCTGGCAGGGCATGGTCCAAGCCATCAGCACCCTCACTTTGACTTCCTATGTTTCTTGGCTCTATGGATAAGAGCAAGAAAGGACGAGGTTTCTGCCTGCTCCCAGTAATTCCGCAAGTCCTGCCCGTCCATGCCCCACAATAGTATCCTGTGCACAACACAGCACAGTCCACAGTCCAAGTTTCCCAATCAGCATGGGTATTGGGCTCGAGTAAGACAGAACGTGGTAGGCTTGCCATCTTTCCACCTCTCCCAGACTCGCAGAACTACTTGTTGGTCTGTGGGTGCCTGTTACGAAGGATGAGAAAGCCCAGAACGACAGGATCCTTCACACAGGTACACCTCCACCCAAGGCTTCCTCCCAAAAAGAACCACCAAAGTGCCTCAATTCAGACACCCAGAAAGCCCAAGTTCAGCCCTCTCTTCAGGGCCTGCTAATAAAGGGAACCTGGCCTCTTAGGAGCAAAATCCCAACTCTCAAAGCTCCCCCATGGTGTTCCTTGCTCACAGACATCAGGGGCAAGCTGACTGTGGCAGGATGTTGGGGACACTGAGAATCGCTGCAGTACCCTCAATGTATGGCCTTACCATGTACATAGTGTCATGCCATACCCATGACACCACACCACACGGATGGTGCCATACTATAAACATGTATGTACCATTTGGCTGTACCATACATGCATACCTGTATAGTCATTCCACACACATGGTAGGCCCGGCACCAGCACCAAAGGTATTCAATCCACCTGTGTATCTCATTACCTGTCATGTGTCATCATAAGGCTTGTCTCCATATTTCTCCATAGAAAGAGCAAGGACAGGACCAGGATATTTGTATCAGGTCAAAAGCTAGTGGAAGTCAGACCTGGATCTGGGTGGAGCTCTGAATGTTTCCAGTACATGGACACACGTGGATGAGCTCACAGAGAACTAGTGAGAGCCATTGCCTGCAATGCCTCTGTCAGAGCCCACCCCCCCAGCTGCATGAGTGTGGTGGGGACCAGGAGTGGCCAGCCTGGCTCTGCTTCCTCGGGCATGTGCTAGATTCCGCTCAGAGCCTCAGGACTTGGAGAGCGTCCTGGGGACACTGAGATGGGTTGAGTGGTTTCGTGGGTGGGACCGAGGGTCAAGAATTCGTTTCTCTCACTGTAGGTGCTTTATGAAATGACGGTCTGGACGGGTGACGTGGTCGGTGGAGGCACTGACTCCAATATCTTTATGACCCTCTATGGCATCAACGGGAGCACAGAAGAGGTGAAGCTGGACAAAAAGAAGGCCAGGTACCCAGAGGGGGCCTGACCCCTCACCCTGATCACATCCCACCTCCTCTTAACTCGGTCCTTGGCCAGACTGGCTCTGTCCCACGCACTGCACGCCACGAGGCCTCCTGGCTGCCTTACCTTGGTTGTTCTTTTCCAACACTGCTCTCTTTCAAAAGCCAGATTAAATATCCCTCCTCTAGGAAGTTTTCCTTAACTGCCAAAGTCATAGCAAGTTTCCTCCTAAAGAAAAAAGTATTTGATCTTATGTGTGTGAGTGTTTAACCTGCATATTATGTTTGTGTACCGCCTGGGTGCCTAGTTCCCATGGAGGCCAGAAGAGGGTGTTGGATACTCGGGGGCTGGAGTTACAGATAGTTGTGAAATGCCATGTGGATACTGAAGATAGAACCCTGGTCTTCGGGAAGAGCAGCCAGCATTATTAACTTCTAAACCATCTCTCCAGTCCAGTTCTTTCCTTCTCTTGTTCCCCTGTCTGGGTCTATCAAAACTGTTCTTCTTAAGTCCTGTGTGGTTGACATTACTGTTTCTTGCTCATTTCCTGGTTTGTTCCCATGCACTGTGTGGGTGTGAGATGCCTTCAGTAGGAGAAGCAGCATGCAGGGTGAATGGAATTATACTTTGGGGACTTTTCTGCATCCAAAATAATTGCAGAATAAAAGTGATCTGTTATTAAAACATTAACAAATGGTTTGTGAGGGTGATGATGGTAGCGATGAAGGTGATGATGGGGCCTGGGCCGCTGAAGGTGAGGACCAGGCAGATATTCCTCCCCACAGACAGAGCAACCCATCCCAGGGGTCTGCTAAGGATGCTCTCCTGCTCTCTCTCAGCACTTTTACCCTCTTGTTATGCAATTCCCATGGTGACAGGCTTGAGAATAAAATGGCTGATATTGGGTGCCCACTCCATGCCAGGCCCTGCTGAAAGGGCTCTGCCACCTATTTTATTCAGGGTACACCCTTTACTCTGCACTGTTAGTATCTCCCATTTATAATGAAGTTCTGAGACACAGGGAGATGAAGTAAACAGTCCGAGGTCACTGGGATTTGAACCCAGAAATCTCGGGAATAAATGAAGCCCCAAAGAGAACAGAGGCTATTTATCTAAAGCTTGCTGAAACAGAAGTCAGGTGATGTCACCAGATATGGTCAGGTGGGAAGATGGATGGTGAAGCATCACTGAGCCATGGTGAGGCATGCTGAGAAGAGCTGAGCATCCTGTATGAGTGAATTAAAGTCAGAGGTTTCCTGAACTGGGAAACTGGAACCAAATAAGGAAGCCGGTAGTTGCTGAACAAGTGATCATTATGAGCTGGGTGCCAAAGAGGCTGTGGGTTGAGACTTGATGTCTAGGCATTGTCTGTATGGCTGTGTAGCATGTTCAGTCTCTGCTAATCTCTTCTCTCTGCTCCAGCACTAAGCCCACCCAAGTCTAATCTCTGGGGTTTTCTCTAGCTGATTCTCTAGTTCTTACATTTCACCTGGTTTGCAGATGCCCAAAGTCTAACTGCTGATTGGAGGGAGGGAAGGTGGGAAGAAGTAAGGGAGGGTAGAAAGCAAGGAGGGAGGGAAAGTGAGAAGGAGGGAGAGGGAAGGTGGGAAGGAGGGAGGGAATTTCATTCTGCTCTGAAAGTTGGCTCCAGATTCATTTGCTCTCTGGGATCTTTGTAAAGTCTCAGGTGAATATCATCCTCCTCAGATTACAAATGAGGGGTTCCCAGTCCCAGAGAGGAAGGTAAGAAACTAGCTGCTGAGAACAGAACTCAAATGGGATCGCTCTTGGTTCAGGGTTATGTCTCCCAGCCAAGCCTGCTTACCCAGTCTTCTAGGATCCCACCTGGGGTGCAAAAGATGGGCAGCTGGGGGATTGCTGAGAGCAGCGAGGTGTCTGGTCTATAGCCAGGGCCAGATTACCAGCTTCTTGTCTTCTGCTTCCCATCCCCAGGTTTGAGCGGGAACAAAATGACACCTTCATCATGGAGATTCTGGACATTGCTCCCTTTACCAAGATGCGCATCCGCATTGATGGGATGGGGAACCGGCCAGAGTGGTTCCTGGAGAGGGTAATGCAGTGCCCTCCCTCATCCCTGCCCTCCCCTCCGTGCTATTGGGTTCTAAGTGGCCTTGTAATGCAACTGTCCTGACCTTGGGCTTTGGTGTGAATCAGTCAGAGAATGGAGCTTTGTTTGTGTCTACTAAGAACTGAATTATGGCTAGAGAAGACAGCACAGTGGGCAGAGTCTGGGATGGGGAAGATCTGGAGTAGGAGATACCTGGGAGAAAGGATGTGGAGGGCTTCTGAGAGAAGCAGACTTGAGACAGCGAGACTGGGTGGATGGTGGGCTTCCAGTCCTGCCATTACACTGGTTGGTAGCTTCTTTCTTCCTTCCCGACTTTTCTCTCTGGAGGAGCCTGAGCCCCCAGGCAGCCAAGCTGTGCCCATCCCTGGGTTCCTGGGCAGGCTGAGGGCGTTCTGGGCAGGGACCATGAGAAACTTAGAAAAAGCAGAGCATGAAGTCTTTGTTTGCCTCCATCTCTCCCACACACACCCCGCCCCATCACACAGCACACAGCACACCACACACCACAGCCACAGGCTTCTCTTCTCCCGAGGAAAGAAGGTGTCTGTGTTTCCTCATCACTGTTTGCTAACCTCCCCTGGCCTCACAGGACAATGACACTGAGGACAGCCATGACACTCACTGTGACGGAGCAGAGGGCTCCCAGTGCACAGCTCAGCTGGCTATGTTTTCATGAGAACAAATGACACAGATCCACAGCCGCACAGGCGTGCTCCTGTGTCAAACGGACTGGCGCTGGGGTCAGGTGATACCACCACTCACAGTGTGAAAATGTTCTGTAGCTCTGTAAGAAAGCTCCAGAATTGGGGGGCAGGTGATACCACCACGCACAGTGTGAAAATTTCCTGTAGCTCTGTAAGAAAGCTCCAGAATTGGGGGTCAGAAGAGCAGGAGTCAAGGTATGGACAGGCCATGTGCTCCCCGAAGGCTCTGCGTAGGGTCTGACCTTGGCTGTCCTCAGACTCTCCCAGCTGGCATACAGTGCTCTTACCATCCACACGCGTCTCCATGTGTAAGTTTCCCCATCCTATTTTGTTTAGGACCCACCTTGCCACCTCATCTTATCTGATTACAGCCCTAGCTTAAATAAGGTCGCATTCCAAGATTCTGATGATTGGGACTTCACTATACACATTCGGGATGGGAAGAACAGGATGAACCGGTTTGATTTAAATTGCAAGTCCTTCTGCAAGCTTGTCCCTCATCCACCAAAGGCCATCTGTCCTGGTTCTCCCCAAGCTTCCCTTACCCTGTGTAGCCATTGCAGACTTTCCTTGAACCAGCAATGTTGCATCCACACCAATGTGGCAAATGTCAGTGTCCTCCTCCCAGGCGGACAATGGCTCGATTCATTTCCTTTTCTCTCACTTATTCAGTGTTTTCTGTACACATTCAAGACATTGCTGTGGAAGCCTTTCTCAGATAAATTTCCAATTTCCAGGTCACATGGGACTTTCAGCAAAGCCCATAAGCAGAGCCCTTGGGATGGGGGTTCGTGGAATGGTGCTTGGGTAAGAGAGTGTATTTCTGTATGGCACCTCTCCAGATCCTGCTGAAGAACATGAACACAGGAGACCTGACCATGTTCTACTATGGAGACTGGCTGTCCCAAAGGAAGGGCAAGAAGACACTGGTTTGTGAAATGTGCGCTGTCATTGATGGGGAGGAGATGATGGAGTGGACCTCCTACACGGTCTCTGTGAAGACCAGTGACATCCTGGGTAGGTTGTGGCCTCCCGCTTCCTCTTCTCTTGCCTTCCACTCTTGAATCATGACTTGTGATTGGCTTCTGATCAGGGTATTTTACTTCACATAACCTTCTGAAGACAAATCATCTCCACAATGTTTCCCTTTCTGTGGAGACAGAGTATTAGCTCCCAGTAGTAGCCAAACTGGTTTCTTCCCTGTCCCCTCACAGAAATGGAGAGGAGAATTTCAGGGACACAGCCTTTGCTTGGCTCAGAACCCTGCAGCTTCCTACCACCACTGAATGCCTCTCACCCAGGGTTGTACACCATGGCGATCTGTGTTTCACAGTCATGACTCTGGCCTGGGGACTGGGGATAGAACTGTGACCTCCAGGGCCCCCACAAATCTCACAATCTGGTGGAGCTAACTTACCATTAGGCGAGGCCAAGACAGATGTCAGCCTGTATACATCTGGGCAAGAGTCGCAGAAACATCCCAGAAAGTTGTCAAACTCAAATCCAGAAAGACAAATGAAGCCATCAAGTGACTAAAATGTCCAGAGAAAGAGCTTCTAAGAAAGAGAGGACATATCTCTCCTCTAGCCAGGAGGCAGCACCTGCTACCTCCCCTCCTCCAGTCAAGGCCTCTCTCCAGGGACCATTAGAAGGAATTTGGCAGACTCGTTCACATTTACCATGGATGACTTATTGATCACGGTGGCTCGCACTTTTAGCAGAGCAGTTTGCTAAAGAGACTGGGCTGTCATGGCGGAAATCTCAGGCACAAGACGCGGGTCAGTAAATATGGCCATTTGTTTCCAGCATTCTCCTCTCTTTTTTCCTCACGGTGGACCTTCCTCTTTATTGCTTGATGTTCCCAGTGTCCACAGGCTTTGAAGGCCCTCTTTTTAGCCCTTCATGGTGTGCTCTCAGAAAATAATGAAGTTCATCAGTAGCAACAGAAGTGTGACTGAGTGGCCTCACGAACACCTCTTCCAAGAGCTCTGGCTTCTTAACAGGGGCCAATGCCTTTCTGAAACACTTCCCTCCCTGGGAACAGGTGCATTTTTGTGCTAAGCATTAATGTTACTCTGTCTGCTGTTACACTAACAGTAATTGCAACACTCAAAGAGAAAGTAAGGGATAGAATTGGACACCTTGTAGTACCAGCGCTTGCTTACTGGCCCTACTGAGAAATGACTCTTAACCAGACTAGGATGAAGGGATCTCAGCAAGACTGGGGCTGAGACAAGTTTATTCAGAGCATTATACTCTTATCAGAAACAGATACAATGGCAGTTGCCAGGATCAATACAATGATAGTTGCCAGGATACAATGATGTTTGCAAGCTATACAAGGTGCATATGATTAATGTCTAAGACCAATCGTCCTGTCAAGCTTCTGCATGCTTCATTGACTTTTAGGGAACACAAAGAATCATGAAATGGCCCAGACGCTCCACTGTCTGAGGGAGTGCCTCAGTTTCTTGGGAACTTAAAGGCACACGGTGCCCTAGGAGCTATGGACTCTAATCTGAGAAACCTATGATGTGTGCCTCTCAAGGCAGCTGGACCAGGCCAACTCCATGGTTCCCAGAAACAACTAAGAGGTCAAGACCTCTTCGGGACTTTCTGATCCTTACCCTCAGTTTCATTGAATTTAGACTCTGTCCTCTTGTGCTCCAGGAGTCTGGGAATAAGACCAGAGCAGAGGGCTTTGTGAAGAGATGCCAGCTCCTAGAGCCTCACCTATGTATTTCCCAGGGGCAGGCACCGATGCCAATGTGTTCATCATCATCTTCGGGGAAAATGGGGACAGCGGGACCCTGGCTCTGAAGCAGTCAGCAAACTGGAACAAGTTTGAACGGAACAACACAGACACCTTCACCTTCTCTGACATGCTGAGCCTGGGCCACCTCTGCAAACTGAGGGTCTGGCATGACAACAAAGGTAGCTACTGCCTGATGCCAGGGTGCTAGGGGTAGACCTTCCTGGGACAGTGCTCCCTGGGTCCTCTGCCTCTCTAGGTGGGCAGACTCTGCCCACCCCAGCAGGAAGGCCATGGATCGCACCACTTGGGTGTACCATCCATTAGAGGGCCTGGGTTCCCAGGCATTTGTTCTACCTGAAGCTTAGTTCCTTCTGCTTTCTCCATGGAAGGTTAATGATTCTTCATTTTTGCAATATCAGAGGACAAATTCAACTTAGTTCGGGCATAAAAATTAAGAAAAAACAGAATTGGGTTGGGTCAGTAGCTCAAGCGTAGCATAATTGTTTAGCATGTGCAAGGTCCTGGGTTCTATCCCTGGAATGGAGGGGGGGGGAATAGAGAGAAGGGAGGGAGGGAAGGAGGAAAGGAGGGAGGGAGGAAGGGAGAGAGGGAGGGAGGGAGGAAGGAAAGAAGAAAAGAAGAAAAGAAGGAAGGAAGGAGGGAGAGAGGGAGGGAGGGAGGAAAGGAGAGAGGGAGGGAGGGAGGAAGGAAGAAGTGAGTCTCACCAAGTCTACTTTCCATGGATTTTCTATCAGTCTTACAACCCTGCATTTGAATGCAGGTATATTTACTTATAAATCTAAGCATGATAAAAGTCATGAAAGAACTTTACTTTTAACTCCAAGGCACTTAAGAATAAATACTTTCTCCATCGCTGTGATGGGTTCCGTGGCCTCCTCATTCCTTTGCCCACCACTTTGCTCTCTGCAGACATCTCTTTACACTGGCTTTGCACCTGCAGCTTCTGTTGGATATCAGAGTTGAAGGTTCATTGCCTGGCTTACCACCTCCGTGCTTGCCACTCTCCTTAACTCATCTCTAGTGTCCTGACTCGAAACTAGCTTCCCCCAAGTTGTCCACTCAAGGTCCTCTCCTAACTTTGCTGTACCCTCACCTCCCACAGAGCTGTCCTGCGGCTGTCTGCCTCATTTGATTTACCTCAAATCTCACTGAGAGTGATTGCTGACAAACCCAGCTCAGGAGCTGGCTGAGCTTCCAGAAGGAGCAATGTCCCTGATTCCTTTCCTTGGCCACGCCCCTCCTCCTTGGCTATGTTCCGTGTCAGAAGCAGGCTGACCACGGACAAAAGGTTCTGACACTGCTCAGAATAGATCCATCCTCCCTACCTGCTGTAGTCAGATGTTCTGTCTCAGTGACAAAATACCTCACAGAGTCCCAGGCCCACCAGAAACACAGAGATGTTCAGGTCACAAATGACCAAATAGGTGCAGGAAATCCGACAGCTGTGGCATCTGGGCAAGTCTGCATCACTACGTGACTGCTTTGAAGAACAGCTTCTCTGCCTGGTCTGAGTTTATTGTCACACGGGAAATGCTCTGACTGTGACCCCATGGTGAAAGGAATTGTGTCAACTAAGCCCATTTCCCTTTTTCTAAAAGGGAAGGCCACACCATTTCTGAGAATGTAAGAAATTGTGTCAACTAAGCCCATTTCCCTTTTTCTGAAAGGGAAGGCCACACCATTTCTGAGAATGTTGAGAAAGGACCACACTTTTGGAGAAATCAGCTCCCTTTGGGAGCCACGGAACTGTCCAAGGTTCTGACTGCAGTGGTTTCTGTTCACTCCAGATCCTAGCGCCTGAGAAGGGGTTTGTGGCTACATGACTATTTATTTAGTTACTTCCTTTTTTCCCTTTCTCTCCTTCTTTCATCTCTTTTTGTTTCTTCCTTTTTGTTTGTTGTTGTTTTAGGTTTTTCAGATCTCACAGCTCAGACTGGCACAAAATTCACTATGTACGCCATTCTGACCTGACTATCCTGTGGCCTCAACCTCATGAGTGTTGGCATTATAGACATTAGTGACTACACCAAGTGTGGCTATCTTCATCCTGGCCTCTGGCAGATACTCGGATTCTTGGCAAAATGGTTCATATCTCATGCATCCCACCCCAAACTAGAAGTATAAAAGGCACAGGACTGCAAGTCCATGCTCAGAGCTCACATCACTGTCCTCCATATATAAAACTCCATCTTAGCCCTATTTACCTATCTGTAAGTGTATAAGTCAAACCCTATCCACCTATTTATTTCTCATCTATTTTCTCCTGGGGCTTCCATCTTCCTCACTATGTATTTCTCACAAAGAACCTTCTAGAGTCCTCTTGGGTGTTTCTGACTTCATGTTGTACCCTTCCTTCCAACCCGAGAAAGTAGAGGCTCACATCTCTCATAAGAATTCTAAGTCTGGGGGTATTTTCGGTCCCTTTCTGTTTGCTCAGCCTATCCTTTATAGTACAGTTTGATCTTTCTATAACTGCCAGACCCGTAGGATTATTTGGTATACCTGTAATGTGTTTTATATTATAATAAGCAAAAAAGCATTTCATTTTCTTAGATACATATGCTGGACCATTGTCTGTCTTTATTTGTGTAGGTATACCCATGATGGCCATAACTTCCAATAAATGTGTGATTACTGAATCAAAAAAAAAAAAGAATTCTAAGTTAAAAAAAAGAATTCTAAGTCTTACTGGAGCATTTCAAGAGTCAAAGATAATGTTTCTTTCTAGTATTGTCCAAGTTTACATGTTTCTTGGGTGTGTCGGGGAGGGGTCTTTTTACTTGGCATGATCAGTCCTTAACAAAATGATCAGCCCAGGCCCTCTACCACTGCAGCTCTTACAAGCCCCATGATTGGAATGTCGATATCAGTTACTATATCATGACAGTTCACCCATGTAGCTAAGTAGTTTTGTCAGTTCCAGCCATGATTGATCGACCTCATTGCTTTGCACCTGGGACAAGACAGGACCTCATGGCGGGAGTTGTGGCAGAGCAAAGCTCCCATATCAGGACCCAGGAGACACAAAGGAGAATTGTTGGGAGCAGTGAGACCCCAGATCCTGAATTTCTTGTAATCCCCTGACCTGAGTGCCTACAGCTGCTCTGAGCACGAGACCTTTAGGCGTTCCTGATGGCAGGAGAGTGGTTTCTGGTGGGTTTGGCTGGGGCATGGCTATCTCTATATAATCTGCTCTTGAACACAATAAAGGGGCATTCTTGGGGAATTCAAGGATGACCCGTGTTGCTATCTCTCTGTCTGTGTATTTTAACCTCCAGCCCCCTTGCCCAAAGCTCGCGAACTGGGTGCCAGTGCACAGAGCACAGACACTGGGGCACGGTGCATGGCAAAGGATGCTGTCCTCCTTTAAGGGTACAGCCTCACATATCTGAGGAACTTCACCAGGTCCTACCTCTAAAAGGTTCCATAGCCTCCCAATAGTGCTGCCTGGAACCAAGCCATGGCTCTTTTAGGGAACAGTTCAGATCTAAACTATAGCAGACAGGACTGAAGTTATGGATAAGGCTGAATGAGGGAAAATACAGCTCAAGCAAAGCCAAGCAGAGGTTTAGAGAAATGTGGCTTTGGAGTTGGACAACTAAAGGGAAGGAAGAGGAGGGGTGGAGAAATTACCTCTACAGGTTTTGGGAAGGAGGGGTTCGTCTGGGGAACTCCACTGGCCAATGCTCCTGAGACCCCAAGCTGTGGTGGTACTGGTCCTGACTCCATAGACTCGTAGACATAAATGTAACAGAGAAAATACGACGTAGCGTTTGCTTTCAAATAGTGAAGCAATTTAAAATGGTTTAAATGTTTCTCTGGGACTAGAGAGGTGGTTCTATGGTTAAGAACACTTGCTGCTCTACAAAGGACTCAGTTCCAGTTCTTAGCACCTACCTGGCTTTCACAACTGTCTATAATGCTAGTTCCAGAGGATCCAATGCCCTCTTCTGACCTCCATGGGCATGAAGCATGCATGTGGTATACATACATATACAGACACAGGCATAACATACATGCAAACTAAAAGTAAATAAATCTTAAAATAAAATGTCTGTTTCTCCCTACAAATTCCAAGAATTTCTGGATGAGAAGTTTTGTTACACAGCAGAATATTTCAGGCCTGCAATGGAGAGATTGGCGGAGGACGGGCTTCTTTTTTTATGAGTTCAGGTTCATCAAACAAAATGGCTCTTCCTTGTCTCCTGAGAGCCCCTCACCTCCATACACAAAGCCAGGGAAACCCTCTCAGAAAGCCACACTCTACTTTTTGGTTCTTATTGCCACTCCAATCAGAAAATATTGTGGTACATTTGAATTTAAATGGTAGAAACTCTCTAAGAGCATTGTTTCCATTCTGAAGTCTTTCTGTTTTCCTTACACTCTTCTCTTTAATAGCTCCCTCTGTTTGTAGATCAACCATTTTTTAAATGCCACCTTGCATGAAGTCATGCATTTGGCCCAAACCAAGCTTTTCATATGTTGATATCCAAGAAATAGTTTCATACCCACAGTTCCCTTTTTCTGCTAAATTCTTCTGCATCCCTCAGAATCCAGGTTAGTTATCAAGTTCTTTGAGAATTTTCCCAACTATGCTGAATAAAGTTAGATGCCATCTCCACTCCTGTGCTCTCTATAGATACCTCTATTTTTAGTATGCTGATTGTGATGGTCTTGCCAATTACAGTTGACAGACTTCCAATCTCTAAAGGATGGGGACCTTGTTTGATCGGCATTCCCAGTGCCAGGTTTGTTCTTATAGGTAGCTAATAATTCTGTGAGGGAGTAAACAGGTCAACCTTCTATGCCAGCTTCTTGCAGCTTCTGGATCTGGGATGAATGGCTCCAGACTCTTTTCTAGACATCATGGAGAGCTCTTCCTCTTTTCTAGGTATTTGAATGGTTTCCAGATGTAGCAAATCATGTCTGATATTTAGTAAAGTGTTTTTGCGAAGGGTAAGAGGGTAGGTGGTGTAGACCCAATAGTGTCTTCTTCTGCTCCTCAAATTCTTTCTCATCCAGAATGTCAGAGTACAGTTATATTTGGAAATGGAATCTTTATGGATACAGCTATAGAACTAGTTTTAAATGACATTATTATTGATCTAGAGTGGGTTCTAAACCCAAAGATGATGTGAGTTCCTACAAGAAGAAGAGA